ATTTCCATAAAATCAATTATTTTTAATTAATTGATCCTAGGTATTCATATTAATGAGTTTTTTTAATTTTCCTTTTAAAAGTTAATAACTACATATATTGATTATAACTTATCTAAAAAACGGTGTACGATGAAGCATAGAACAATTAAAAAACTATTGATTTGAAAAGACATTCGTATGAATTTATTTCATTTTTTTCGAAATTGCTTAGGTTACATTTTATTCTTAGTGAATGACTCTAAGAACACCTTAAAAAAATTTAAAAATTGCTTTGCTTTAAGAGTGATAATCTGATATACGTACTACTTAGTACATTTTTCGCGTTATTAGATAGAATTAATCTGGAAAAGTTCTTTAAAATACAATATTAACATTATGACATTATTTCATTAGTACAATGTTCTTATTTCTATTTAATTAATGCATTTGTATATATAGGAATTGACCACTTTTGCTTCTGATAATTGGTCCTTGTAAGTAATTATACTATAGGGATGTCTACCGAGACAAATTTAATGACGTGGAATAAGTGATACACAGGTATATTCATTATGGAATATAAGATACAGGTAATAATGAACAAATTTTACTTATTACTTTTTTAACAATTTTTTTATGTTTTTATCACATATATCTTGTTCTATAAAATGTTGTATAAATATGTGTTATATAAATTTGTAAAAGACACTTTTCAATGTTTTATAATTTAAAATAAATAAAAAATATTGAACAAATTTTTACCTGTTCATCCTATACTGGAATTCAGCAAGAATCTTTCAGCCTAACTGTGTTTCATCATTTTTCTACTATGTTATACTTTCATGTTACTTCATAAATTTTAAACATTTCTAAAACTTACACAACATAACAATAAAAAGATGGATTGGGTTAAAGAGGTAAGGACAGGCCTAAATCAATAATTGTACTGTTACACAAAATGGGCGATAAAGCACATATAGCTAATTATAGATTTGCTTAATATCTAATATATACAACGTTTTTTCCAAAAATTATATTATTGAAAATTATAAATATCCTCGATTAAAATCATCCTAAACAGCGATTCTGCAGCCAGCTTAATCCATGTCCTCCGTCAAATTGTACAAAAATAAAGAATATGATAAAACTTACATTGGGTTCGTAGACTTTAATGAGGCTTTCTACACCCTTGAACACGAATTTAGCTGTAGAAAGGCGTACAAACAAAATACATAAGATTACTTAAAACATATACATAAAAAGTACTGCGCACAACTAGAATGTACAGGAGAAGAATTCGCGATCAAAAGAGATGTACGTATCAGGGTGATCCTATATCGCGAAAACTATTGTCTGCGGTCCAAATAATCTTCAGGATTTTGGATTGGATAAACACCTGAGCCACGACTTTCGATAATTTTTCGAAAATAATGTCGGATTTTCTGATAATCCGAAATTTTTAAAGGTGCAATGTTGCAACAGGTAGCTGTAGAAAGTGAAAAGGTTTGTTTGTCAATGAAATTAACAAAGACAAAAATGATGTTGAATTCTGCACAAAGAGGAACTATACAAATTTACGGCGAAATAATAGAATACGTAAACGAATATCCTTAGCCATAAGTTCAGTTCAGTAACACAGCTGTAGCTTGATCCTGGGTGAAGGAGCTCTTCAGTCCGACTATAGCCATAAGCTGTTCCATTTTTCGATATTAAGAAGTGAAGTTAATAATTTCCCATCTCAGTAAACAGTCAGTCCATTTCAAGCATATTATTCTGGAACCCTAATTTTATAGAAACCTTTTCGCTTTTGTTTATATAAAGTACATAGACAGAATTCCTTATGCTTAATTGAAAATAGATTACAATTTCAAATTTAGGCGTGATAAAGTCTTTCCTTCCACCTTTTGTAGTAGTTTCTGGACTTACTATTTGAGAGTTCGAAGGTAAGGGTTCATGTTCAGGGCTTTCATCAAAGATCGTAAGTGAACCGAAATGTCCTTGCGTTTGTAGAATCTTATGGAGTAAGAGATGACGATAAACCTACGAAACACATTTGCTCTTATTTTTTTTCTCTTAATTTAATATTCTTTGTCCTTTAATAAAACACTATTTTGACCGGATTGAAGTTATGTATTATTATAAATTTACAACTATTTAACATAATTTTAAATTTATCCGACGTTTCGCGTGCTTTACAGCGTGCGTGGTCACGCTGACTGAAGACAAAAGATGTTGAATGTCAAAAAGTATCACAGCTGCAGAGAAAGTTGCATTATCTGTATTTATTTCCCCGGAGTTGGTATCGACTAAAAGATGGAGGGTTTTGGCAAAAATGGCTTACGGTGTCCTCTATTTTCGCGGATTGTTCTTTTTGAGATTTTAATTTGGATATTATTGGATCCCAGGTGTTTGACAATTTTAGGCCGTCTTCTCTATTGAAATTGGGGTGTTTTTTGATTTCAATGGCTTCGCGTACCAATCTTGGGAAGAATCTTTTCTCTTTCGCAAGTACTTTCGGTTGGTCAAAGCGTATGTAGTGATTAGGCCTATCTAGTATGTGTTCACAGACTGCTGATTTTGTGTGTCGTCTATGTCTTATGTCTGCAATGTGTTCTTTGAGTCTGCTGGACATATTGCGTTTAGTTTGCCCTATGTAAGACAGGCCACAGTCGCAATCCAGTTTGTATATACCTGCATCTTGCAATGGGGTGTTACTTTTGATTGGTCTTAGGAATTGCTGAATCTTCTTGTGCGGCTTGAAAATTGTATGAATAGAAGCTCGTTTTAGGATCCGGCTAATTCTATCTGTAACTCCCTTTACATATGGCAAGTAGGCTGGCTGGCGGGGAACTGTTTGTGTCTTGTTTTTGTTTTTGTGATGCAGCCGGGGGATGCGCAGCTTGTTTCGGTGTAGCACCTGTTTGACATGCTGTAGTTCCTCCTCGAGGTGGGCATCATCACAAAGACGTTGGGCTCTCTGAAACAAACATTTACCGACAGAAAGCAGTTGTGAAGGGTGGTGGTGGGATTCACCATTGAGGTACCTATCTGTGTGGGTTGCCTTCCTGTGTATTGTGTGACCTAGTGTGCCATCTGCTTTGCGTATAATTAAAATGTCTAAAAAGGGCAGACGGTTGTTGTTTTCTTGTTCAACAGTAAATTTAATGTTCTTGTGTATTGAATTTAAATGTGCTAGAAATGCAGATATTTTGTCATTGGGGAGTACTACAAATGTGTCATCGACATATCTCTTGTACAGTCGAGGTTTAACTGGGGCATTGGCCAGAGCTCTCTCCTCAAAGTCCTCCATGAAGATGTCAGCGACTATAGGTGACACTGGAGAACCCATGGCTACTCCATCAACCTGCACATAGAACTCATCTTTCCACATTCTACTGTGGCCTGTCTTACATAGGGCAAACTAAACGCAATATGTCCAGCAGACTCAAAGAACACATTGCAGACATAAGACATAGACGACACACAAAATCAGCAGTCTGTGAACACATACTAGATAGGCCTAATCACTACATACGCTTTGACCAACCGAAAGTACTTACGAAAGAGAAAAGATTCTTCCCAAGATTGGTACGCGAAGCCATTGAAATCAAAAAACACCCCAATTTCAATAGAGAAGACGGCCTAAAATTGTCAAACACCTGGGATCCAATAATATCCAAATTAAAATCTCAAAAAGAACAATCCGCGAAAATAGAGGACACCGTAAGCCATTTTTGCCAAAACCCTCCATCTTTTAGTCGATACCAACTCCGGGGAAATAAATACAGATAATGCAACTTTCTCTGCAGCTGTGATACTTTTTGACATTCAACATCTTTTGTCTTCAGTCACCGTGACCACGCACGCTGTAAAGCACGCGAAACGTCGGATAAATTTAAAATTATGTTAAATAGTTGTAAATTTATAATAATACATAACTTCAATCCGGTCAAAATAGTGTTTTATTAAATGAATAAAAGTTATGTTAATCAAAGACAATTCTTTGTCCTGCCCGTTTCTTCCGTTTCAGCTAACTTTTTGTCTACACCATTGATTTGGAAAAATGTTTGAGTTTTTTTCAATTTTCATTCGTCAGGCAAATGCAAAAAACTTAGATATAGGTCTAACGTCTATGCGTTAGAAAACTAAACTTTGAAAAATAAGGGACACGTTAGTATATAATTTAAAAAAAAAAAGGGTCCGTGTACTTATGTACGCGCTTAAGAAGTTATACTTCTTTGGCAATATTAAAAATAGTTTGGCTTTGTTCCACCTCCAGTTTTTGATGTTTCACAGCGATAAGATGAAAACTCTTTTTTTGTATTCAATTTAGTGCAGTTACACTGATTCATCAATTGTTTTTTGTCTCTTTTCCTTATATTTGCTAGATAAAATCAGAAAAATTACATGTTTTGATTAAACAATGTGGTTAATTTTTTAATCAAAACATTACTCGATAATAATAATAATACATACGGATAGTTAACCTCAATTGTATTGAAGCACTTAGGAAGGTTGATGAGCACAGTTTTTTCACAAATATTAATTAGTATTGGTTTAAATATTCAATTTAAATCACTTCTGATTATAATTCAAAAAGCATCGCTAAATTTCTTTGAAAAAATAATTAAAACTCCTTTATTTGTTTAAAAGGTAAATGACAAATGTCATTATGGTCATTCAAAATTGTTGGCATACGAACTTCACGCATATTCTATTTCTTTTTACTTGTAGATTGTCTTATTCCTATCTCGCTCGCGCACGCTATAATCACACTCCTAATTTTGTGTCACGGGTGCGCGCGCATTGTAAAATTTCACTCTCATAAATTTTTCATAACGCGCCTAAAGAAGTATAACTTCAAAAATGATTTTTGGGGTTAAAATAAATTACATATTCAAAACACATATTATTTATTTTACGATTAACATTTAATAGTTTAATTTTTCACTCACGTATTAAATTTTAGTATATATATTAATTTTTAATATAACATTTCCGTTTTGTTTCTAGGATTTTTCTTAGCCCCATCTTTTCACCTCTTTAGGTGCCTCGGGTTCTTTAGGAACTTTGGGGACCTTGGGTAGTTTAGGAACTTTGGGGATCTTGGGTAATTTAGGAATTTTGGGGATCTTGGGTAATTTAGGAATTGTGGGGACCTTGGGTTTCTTGGGAACCTTCGGGTCCTTAGGTTGTTCACCTTCAGCAGCAGCAACAGGACTCTAAAAGAAAAAAGAAAATGTTAAGGGTGTTTTTGTGTGTTTATTAAAAATCGTAGTTTCTACGTACAATATCTCCCTTGTCTTACAGAACAGAGGGCAAATGGGTAGAAAGGTTACCTAGTTTAAGACCATAGCCGCATAATGCCAAGATACTTACAAATGCGTTGCCAAATTAAAAAGAATTGGTACACTTTTCCTTTATACATACATGTGTCTACAATTTATCTACTGATACAGTTTAGATGAGTTATTTACTTAATTATAGTAAATTGAAATTTATAATGAAGTAATTGGTTTAATGGAAAAACGTCGATAATCGCTTATCTTATTTAAGAAGGTCTGTTGCCTAATCACAATCAAACGAAATTGGCTATCATTTCATCTTTCATTATACATTCTCACCCTCTACAGTTAAGGCAGCCAGTTATATTTGGTTGTTACTAAGTGGAAAAAAAATAATGACATAATTGTTTGCAATGTTATGCCGATTTAATTTTATGGAATTTGAACTCACCGATATTATTTTCTTTTTGCTTTCATCCGCCGCTCCATCTTGCGAGTTGCTATTTGCGAAAGCAACCTGTAACAAAATTTATTGATTAAGGACACACTTTAAATTAATAAAACAAGAGTTAGATTCGGTATTAAAAAACGTCAGCTAGTTTAATTATAACACGAAAGTATCGGTTTGGGTGATCTGAAGAGATTAGGTACTAATCATTTAACCAATGAGTCGGTCAAATATATATAGATAAGAAATAGTATGAAAAAATAATCATTAAAAGCCAGAGAAATGGTCTGAGGCTAGAGGTGACTTAAAATATACTCACACTAAAGAGGCAAACAGCCAAAATGATGATGGTAGAAGTCCTCATGTTTATTGGTTTTCTTCGAAGGTACAGAAACTGACTGTGAATAATTTCGTAAAACGCTTTCTTTATGTACCATTTTTCTTCGCGTTTTTTGGACTTAATTTGCTTAGAAACAATTGTTTTTAATTTTCAATTAATCGACACTAGATCACTACTATGTTATGCTACCCGGATTTGTTTAATAATTAGTCATTATTACTATATTTATTTAAGCGATAAGGGGTAGATTTGGGACTGATAGATTGGGGTTTCCTCTGATATTTTCCTGGGTTAAATACCCGTTTAATATACTCGGGGGAAGCCGTTGGGGAGACGGGGACCCGAATAGGGTACGATGCGATTCTGCTTTCCTACTTGCGACGACTGACAAGACTCAAGACTTTAGACACCTGGAACTATGTGGGGGGGGTGAAACAGCCTCAGTCACTAAAATGTTTTTTTAAAGATGCAAATGCGACAAGGCGTTTTGCACCTCACATGGCGCAGGTCCTGACTGGCCATGGGGCTTTTGGACACCAATTACACAGACTCAAACTGAAGACAAGCCTCGCGCGCGACTGCGACGACAGAACCGACCAAATGGTTGTTCATTTACTTGTTGACTGTGCGAGTTTTAAAAGGTCCAGGTAGGATCTGGAGCTCGAGACTGGCATGAGGGTATCCCGGGATGGGCTATCCGACATGTTGCTTGAGCACAGATCGCAGCTGGAAAAATTCTGCGGCAAGATTGTCAAACATGTTACTCACAAAAATAGCACGAGAGGTAACGCGGGTAGCGCCGGGCAGCAGGCCCCAACTCGCCCATAAATATTATGATGATATTTCCGGAGTAGTTGTTGTCCCTTTTAAAAAAGGGGAGATTTCGACACTCCTCTGCTGCTTAGCCAGTCGGTCACATATCTGCCTGATTGAGTGTCTGATAGGCTAGGATGTAAAAAAGTATCAGTATTTAATTATATGTTTCGTATGAACGATCTTTAATCTTTACTTAATCGCTTAAGTAACATTTTACTCTTAATAAACGACACTAGTTAAATCTGCTAGTTAAATTTTGTAAAGTGTTTTTATACAAACTGACAAACATAGAACATATTGACAATAATATATATATAGTAAAATGAAACATCATTATTATATATTCCCATCCTTTGTTATTTTAATGTTTTTTTTAATATCCATACAATGTATGCCAAAATGATAGAGATAATAGAAATTGGTTTTATAATTACTACCACGTGCATAATTTAGCCTTGATATTTTGTTAAATGCCGAAGGTTAGCTATATTGTTAGATATGTTTGTGTATTTACATTAAATTGTTTTCTAGCGATGCCTTACGCTTTCTCACGTATATCCGGTCATAGCGTTATATATTAACCCTTTTTTGTTACATGGACTATCAAACACAAAAATACTTTTTAGTTGGAACCGGTAGTCTTTGAGGATAGCACGTTCAACCAAAGAAACAAACCTCATAAAGGGGGATAGTATGACTTGTTTTATCACTTAAGGTGAACGCCCATTCATCGGCCCGTTTATTTATAATAATCAATAATTTTATATGAATGATACCGGTGTGAAAAATCAATGAGTATAATAGTAAAAAGATAATGATTGCCTATTTAGGCAAAGTCGCTCATGATGGCCGTTGATCGTGGTTAAAACATATGTGTTAACTACAACCTTTAAGGTTTTAAAATTAATTATTAGAATAAATTTGTCCAGGCTGAATTGGGCACGGAAATAGCTTAATGTGGCGATCCAATGTGCCTTAATTTAATCCTACATTACACATTTGGTGGTGTCATTTCATTATTTTTTTATCAAATCCCAATAACATCTGTCCTACTCAGAACGGCACTGACTTGAATAGGCACTGAATTAGGGTTAACCCAAACAGACAGAACATTTGTTTATACTTTATAAACCAGTTCTAGACAAAATATAAGCCTCAGACCTTAATATACCTAATAAATGCAACCTTATTATAATAAAGTAAAAATAGCCTACATTTGAGTACTATAATAAGGATTACATTAAGTTCATGTTATTATTGTATTTAATATTAGTACACGACCTCGACAAAGAGAACGCCTCTTCCAAATTCTTACAATTATCTTTCATCTTCGCTAATTTTTCCAATGTCTCCCCGCTATCTCTTATATTTCATCTTCCCAGGTTTCTGGTGGGCGACCTCTCTTTTTACTTCCCACTGGGCCATTAAGGGGCTTTTTGATCCCATATTAAAATATTAAAACTATGTATTAAATATATTTTTATTTATTTACTAGAGCTTCCGGTTAATTGAGAAAAGAATATATTGCTTACTATATCCCTCAAAAATTCTCAGATCAAAATAACAAACAACCGTTCAACGTATTCAAAATAGAGGGTTGTTACCACAGATGTGTATGAATGCTTACAGCATACAGATTAAAAACTCAGTCGAGATTACTTGTGTGACTTTTTGCAGTGTACCTATTCCTTAGTGAAATTTTACGACTAGCATAAAGGTACTATGTACGCAAATGGTAACATACTATCTTAATCGTTTCAAGGACCCTATATGTTCGGTAGTAACACTAGTGATAAATAAGCCATATATCTGTTTGTCTTTCACGCACACAGACAAATCTTTGCCTGTACTTTGAATCTTCCAACAGCTGCTGGGATAGCAATTTCGATACCATTTTTTTCCCCAAACTTGATTTAGTTTTCTCAATAGTCATTAATGTCTCTATTGTATTGGCTTGGCTGTTATATAATTTGGATTATTTAATTGTAATAAAATAACTTGTTAACTACTTTTACAACAAAAATTTCCATTGTTAACAAAATGTCATGTAAAGGAAATTATTTTGTATAGATAACATTATAATTAAAATTTTTAAACAAAACACGTTTATTACATTTTAATGACTGTTTAAATTGATATTATGGTTACAACGGACTCGGCGAAAATGAAATGTGTAAAATTAAAGAAACAACACTAATTCAACCATCCTGACTTCATCTTTTCAAAAAAATTCCTTAGAAAAATTAGTCTAATTGCGCCTTTATAACTGAAGTACTCATCTATATGTGACATTTTTTTATGTTTGACTTCTTTGTAAATCTGTATTAGTATAAGTTTCACGCATTTATATGTATGTATATATACCTACATGTTTAGAATTAGGGTGTTAAATTATATTCTGTACGTTAATATTGTATCCTCACATAGCAACACATAAAGATTTGAGAGCTTGATTTGAGAACTGGCACTAAATGTAACATTAGAAGCATTTCATATATACTTTTTTTTTGACGTGCATAAGTGTACATTGAGTAACCTATATGAATAAATTATTTTTGACTTTTGACTTTTGACTTTTAAAAGGTCCTGGGCTCGGTGCAATACTAGTTATATCAGGATCAAAGGTAATAGCCGTTTAATTTCTGGCCTGGTCTTGCCAGATCGGGACGTGAGAAAAAATATAATAAAACCAATGAGTATTTACTAAAGATTGTCCACTCGGTGTAAGTTACGTGAAAGGTCCAGCATAAATCTGTCCAGGCCACAAAAGGCTCAAAGTGGATCAGCGTAGCAGTAAGTCTGGCTTATCTGCACCCTCCTTGCATATTAAAGGCAGGTGCACACGAGTTGGCGACCGACGAGAATATTTTATTAGGTGATAAAGAGAAACTGAATTTATTTCTTCGTGCTTTACACTTGTTTTAGCGTTAAAATAAGTTGCTGCAGCGTAACGATGTATTTTTAAAAGCTTTGGTTGATGTCTCGAATGGAACGAAGGATTTTCAATGTAATACTCCTGCTGTAAGCACTTCTTAATAAGTAGTATAAAAAGAAACAAAAATTAAATGAAAAACATGGAATGTAGGAAAACTCAATATAGCATTCAGATTCGAGATTACTATCGCTGTTATATGAACAAACAGACTTAGGACTTAGAAACTGAGACGACAATTATGTAAGACTTATTGTAATAATTGCGTGGAGTCAGTAGAAATATCATAAGAAACCATCTAAATACTTTTAATCTGTAACAGGGATTCTACGAGTTTCGCCATAAATGTATAACAAATCTCATATTACTCATACCTGAGACCATTACTCAGTACACGTGTTCTATGATGGTACATTCACTGGTAAGTATGAATAATAATAATGAAGAACTGAGTTGTGAGTTCCATGTAATACTATACCATACCAAGTTATTACGTTATTAGCTTAACAACAAATTATAGTGACCATATCAACATTAGAAATGTTTTATATATAAAATAAATAGATTTACTTGGCCATCGCATGAAAATACAATTATATATCTCACAAGTAATACATATTATATTAAATTACATTGTTTAAAGCGACAAGTTCTTTATGCAGTTGGTGTATCTAGGAAACTGGATCGAAATTGCAAAATAGCAAGCTTCTTTTAAATGTCTGCTATAAGTGCCTTAGAGTTTTAATGATCAGTCAGTCAGTGAGCGAGGAAAAAAAATTAAGAAACTTTGACTATTTATAATTCTTATAGAAATCAAATAGAATTAAATCTGAAATATACCGTGTTTACACATTGCCTGCTTGGTTTCAACAGGATTATAGTTTTATTCTCAATAATGATATAGTGGGGAAGAAAATGGCCTAAAGTGTTTCTCGAAAGATGGTACGGCCGTGCCGCTTTGTTGGCAGTGCCCCCAAACAATTTAGTGGCACTACAACCCTTGCCGCACTTATTTTTATTTTATAAACAAGTAGGTGAGCCTGACGTGTTAACATGTTGTTTTTAAATAAAATTAGAGGGTTCTAATTAATAAATAAATAACTAACCTAAACATATAATAACTAAAATTTATTATTAAAAAGGGACTCCCTTTAGGAAAGGTTCCGAAGATACTTGCATAGTTCCCCCTTTGAATAGCTACACTAATTCTTTGTCCGAAGTAGTTTTTTACTTTGTGACATGCCTTGATGTTTTCCTTCACCGTACGAGTGTTGCCGGGAATCGAGCCGACGTCAAGGATGAGACACGCACACTAAAGCCTCTATATGCACTGCTTTTATATGTATTAAGTAACTTTATAATAACAAATATGACGTCAATAAATAAATAAAAACAAAAGAATTTCATAACGTGGGTGAGTTTTAGTTTTATATTTGTTTATTAGTACTTAAATTCAACAACCTACCGTTTCTATTTTAATTTTAGCTTTATGTAAAAACGTTTGTGGGTAACTTAAAGGACCTTAACGGGAAGGCAGTAGAATTATTTCTAAGCACCTTTTGAGTCAAAAATAACAGCTGTTACCATGTTTTAATAAAACTAAAGAGGCTAAAGATGCAATGACACGCTTAGGCAATATCTGGAAGAAAAGCGGACTTGGTACCAAAACCAAAATAAGATACCGGCTCTAGTGTTCCCCCTTATCTTCCTGTAGCTCGAGAAAGGCAAGGATTGCTGCCTTTGGGATGTGGTGCTGGAGGCGAATGCTAAGAATACCCTGGACGAGGCGCACCAATACATCGATCCTGACCCAACCCCTCATACGGACTCGCCTGTCTATAAGCCAACTGTGAATTGTATCGTATTTTGGCCATGCAATGCACAGATTCGATGTGAACTTGGAGAGACTGATCGTGGTTGGTAACACAGAAGGCAAAAGATCACGTGGCCGTTCACCAACCAGATGGACTGATCAAGTGAAAGACTCATCGTCCTCAAAACTAAACATTGTCATAAGACAGGCTCTGGATAAAAATCGGTGGAAACAGCTCGCCCGATCCAGATGCACAGCACAAGAAGCCACATTCTTGTGCTGACTGCTCAGGCAAGCATGTATCAAAGATCATGAGTTCTAACCCCGTCGACATTATTGGAGTAACTTACGGTTAGACAGCAGAAACATACATAAATATATCTGCCCCCTAACTCACTAGCGGCTAAATAATAATATGTTCTTTTAAATGTTCTACATTAGGCACGGATAATTAATTCCTGACTCCTATTGTTTACTTAGGACGATTTAAAAACAAAATAAGCAGACAAAGCAACTTTTGCATTTCGATTATCAGCGTTTTTTATCGATCACGTTTTCAGGTATAAGAATTATTTTTCGATTCATTAAACTTGCAATCTTCAATTTTTATTTAACATGATATAGCAAAATAAGGTTCGTTCGATGTCGTTGCTTAAATTTCGTCCACAGTCACTCAATATGTATAAATAAATATAGTTTAAAAAAATCTCTCTGTGTCTCTGTTCTGTCTCTGCTCTGTGCCATATTTTTCGTCTATCGAGCAACCCACGGTTTTTCACAATAATACCAGTATTTTTTGTTCATTACCATTTTCAGCCTAAATTAGGAATTATTTTTCACTTTTTAGTTTGATGTGCTTTAAAAGCGTGTTTTTTAGTTTTTTTTAACTATTTTTATTTTTTAGTTAAATTTTTTTTATTTTTTTTTCGGATTATTGCATTGTCATCGATCTTTGACAGGTGCGCAAAGTTTGAATTAAATCTGTCCGTTAAAAGTGGGTCAAAATCGAGTCCGAAGGAGTCGGTTACATACATACATACATACAGGTGAAGCTAATATAAAGCGTGTAAAAACGTCGTCGTCTTTCTAAGCAAATAATCTACTACTGTATGAGTTATTGAAATTAGTAAATTATATTTATTTGGATTGCATATTTATTTAGTAATATAGGAAAATAACGTTAAAAAAACCAATGATGTTTATTTAATCTCTTTTAATATGCCAGACTCAAATTTGAATTTGATTATTAATCATACTATTTAAAATAAGGATAGTATGAAATTATTATGTTTCTTTGGCTGGTTCTTTAGCTCCAATGCTATCAACCTGAAAATAAAATGTTAATGTTATCATTATTAAGTATACTTATACTGTGGTATTCACGTTCAATTACTAGTAATAACACGATGAGACAGTAATATGCACAACACATTTTTAATATAGGCCGATAAACGATTATGATTAAGGGTACAAGTATTTAGCTACTTGAAGCATATATATATTTAAATTAAGGACCTATGGGGCATATCTGTTTATGTAGTGTGTGTAACTTTACTATTACACTAGTTTATACTTGAAACTAGTGTTTCGCTGGGTATCAAATTAAATAATTGGCTTTGACGAAAATATGGTAAGTAAAATTTGTTAATCTATGTGTATATAAATAAAAATGAATCGCCAAAATATGTCGCTAAGCTCAAAACTCGAAAACTGCTGGACTAATATAAATTAGTCCAGCCGTTTATAAATTTTTTTTAATTGTTTAGTTCTACTTCTTAGGTTTTTATTACGTAGTAAGTAGCCTAAAAGTTAGGCTTAGTAAATTAAAGTACTCAATAAAATACTTATAAATAGGGACAGTCCCTATTAAGTACTATGTACTGACAGCCTGAAATAGCATTTATCAGTCCAAAATATCCGACATATGTAACATATGTATCCATTGTATATGGGACAACAAATAGTTCTATACTCACAGCTTTCTTAATGCTATCAATCGCATCGTTAAAATTTTTCTTTATATTGTCTGGGTCAAAAGCGCTTCCCAATTGCTTATTTACGTTTTCAGCGAAATCCTGGACTTGTTTTGATAAGGTGTCTAATTGATTTGCATTTTCTGTATCACGTTTCACAAAAGCGTGGACCTGGAATAATCAATCAAAAGTTTTTTAAACGTGTATCATTACCACTAGAAAGTATTACATTACCACTGGATACGAAATTGTGTACATGTGTAGAAATAATTCGTAGTTGTTAAACATGCTAACTGTTGTATTCTTGATGACGATTAAGGATATGCTAGGACAAGCGTAGCGTTATATAAACGTAGTTGAGCAAAAACGTTCCAACTGGAATACAGTACACACTCTTAGTTCTTTGTATGTAACAAATTGTCTGACAATGTATAACTGTTCACTCTAAAGCAACACTAATATAATTCAACATTGTAAAATATACCTAAATACATATACATACATAAGATATACAGATGAAACAAAGTAAAAATAAAATTTTGCTAATATATAGTTATAGTCTACTGTCTAGGCACAAATATTGCATTCCCACTTCTTATAAGAAATTACTGATAAAGCAATTGCTTTATTTCTTTCCTTAGGCATATTGACTCTACCTAATTGAATTTTCCGAGATTCGGAGAATCCAGTCACATTATGGGCATTGCATTTTTTCTAAAAAGGAAAATTGTTTTGCTTTTACTGTCTAAGTTAATACAAGTCGAGTTTTAGAAGTTTTTCCGCACAAACAAGTGTTCAGTTCGCGTTAGTTAAGCATTGGCACTAGGTTCGAGCGCACCAGACAATGGACTCTTACCAAGACCATTTCTCTCAAATTAAGAGTGTTACATGTGATTATGGTTTTGATATTGTATCTTATTTCAATAGTAATATATCTGTGGTCGTAGATCAGACAATGATAAGTACATTTATTCCTATATGAAGTGTTTCATATTTAAATAGTGCCTTCAAGATTTCTTAATAATTTAATTGCTTTACAAGTAATGAAATTACATTTATCATATTCTGACCTATGGCCACAGATATATTTCGTTTGGTTTAATATGAACAATAATTTTGTAACTATATATATAAACATTAACATTAATTTAAGGTTAGTTATTGTTTTTTTGTTATATTAATTTATGTTAGCTGTAGAATTAGGAAATAAAGAGCAGTTAAGACAACATTACATACATTAAGATATGATAAATTTTTCACAGCTATATGTTATACGTAATTTTTGAGAATTAATATAGGTTTTAAATTTTAACATTTTCTTTTTAACATATAGCTTAATAGACAAATTTATAAACGCTTTCATTAGCGTTTATCCAGTTTATATAGTTTTAAATATGTAGATATAATTTGCATACTATGCCTACTTGGCTAATTAATATGAATACAAATTTTCATAAAATTAAGAATTATAATTTTATGAAAATTTGTATTAGATGTCATCAAAACTTAGAATAATAACAATATATAAAATAAATAATAATTATAGACTTACACTGATTAGGCAAACCGCCAAAAAGATGACAATTGACTTGTTCATTTTGCTCACGAGTTTACTTGTCAACTAAAGATCATTCACTGACCACAGCGCGTTAGATGCTTCCTTTATCACAGCGGGTATTTATGCTTATCAAGAGGTCGTTTCTAAGAAAATAATTACATAGGATGTAATCATACTAATCTTTGGCCGGAATCATTTAGTTTGACAAATAACACTGTATACTTGTTATTGCGCTCTAAAGTGCTTAACAATGAGAATATTGATAAAAAAATCAAATGTGATTTTTAACTCTAATATATGACCCTTAAGGGGAAATACATACTTAATTATATGTACACAAAAATGTATAGAAAAATGAAATGAGACGTTACTTATAATAATCAATTGTTTATGCGACCGCAAAACAATATTGTTTCACTTGCATTTAACTAGAGCTTATGTGCAGTATACCATGGGACCGGGATAAACTAAAAATGTTGTATTTGTATTCTAGAAAAGCATTTAAAGAATTCAAAATATAACATACAAAAAAAAATAATTCCCTCTTCAGAAATGCGTATAGTTAAACTCTATTAACATGAAACTGATATAACTTAACAGATCATTAAAGTGAAATATTATCCAACCCCAACAACTACACCTACTCAGCTTCCGTCTTTTGAAGTCGCTTAGAAAACAAAAAACGTTAAATCGTTTTAAGACGTAATGCGGAAATACTCACTTTTTGTAATTTCTTACACTGGTTTAAGATTTTTTGCGATAGATGTTATTTCCGCTTACCGCTGGTTTTGTCCTCAAGGTGTTTTGGATAAAGCTGTTTAAATAACATTTGATGTGCAAGTTGCCCCATCATTAATTTGCACTTATATATTCGTCGTGGAAATGGCTTTTACGCATCCCCCACCACACAGACAGTATCTGGGTATGACTCAACTCATTCTAGGTGACCCATCTGCTACTCAAAAGATCCGGGTGGGCAATACCCACTAAAACCCCTTCAGGTGGTTTACATTGCCGCACTCAGAGGCTCCCAGATTTGCAGAATTAATTTACTATAATTACTTTCTGAAATCTTTTAACTGTTGCAAATTACTTCCTTTAAACGTATTGTCACCTCAATCTGCATCTAGCAACTTAAAGTCAAAATATAATTTATTATCATCTAGATTATCGAGTTTGACGTATTTCCCCCATTTAAAGCGAGGTTAAAATGCCTAATATTTTCCTCATTTTATTAAGATAATATCGTATATTTGAGGGTTATTAACCGCAATGTTTTTATCAAACGTTAAAGTACAATGATAGACTGCTAATTTTATTATTTATGACGAAATATATAATAATACTTATGCTATTAGCTCGTTCGTTGGTTCTTCGTTTATTCATCATTAATTAAGTACTTGATAAAAATGATTTATTAACGATTGTAGCTGACTTCAATCGCTAGGCAAACATAATGAATAATACTAATATTACTAAATTATATATAAATACTATAATTAATAATTATTTTGATTCCTAGAAACAGGACTTCTTTAATGTGACTTGTGTAACAAACTTATGAACTATTTATTTTGGTTGAAATGTTACTAATCGTTGCCCATGAGCGGTTTTATTTAACATAAGCTAGAAACTAGTATCACGGGAATTATAAGATTACATTATTGTATTGACTTTATAGAGCCATTGAAGCCGAAAACATTGACAGCTAATTGTCCAAAATCTAAGCTAAATCAGTCTGCAAACCAACACGACCTTCAGCTATGAAAAACACAACAAATATATATATCGTGTTTGTCCAATAATCCTAAAAAAGACGGAACAATTTATTTTCACTGGAAATTGACACGGGAATACCTAAACGCATCGAAATTAAGCGAACAACGGATGTGATATGTGAGTTTAAAAAATATTTATTTTACCTCAAAGTGACATTGACTAAAATGAAAATTGCACCTTTGATGGTCACGAGCAATTCTAGTGTAGCCTTTGTTCTGTGATTGAATTGTCAAAACCGCATTTGCTACAAAATGTACTGTGGGAATTTATATGATTTTATCTAAATTACAGATTTAGGTGACTAGGTAATACAGTCGTGTATATTTTCTTATCGTAATTCAATTATGTATTATTTTTTTTGGGTTATTATTTGTGTAAGTTTTACCCTTCTACCTACCTATCTTTATTATATTCGTTGATACTGTACCACTTTATGCTAAGTGTAAACTATATAAAGAATGATTAAATACATTACGTTTTAGCTGCCTATGGTAATAATTATATTACTACTTTTAAAGTTTCTACTAATACCACTCTATATCATTGATACAATTTCGTGGGGTATTTCTATAAAAAGTGTTTTCATTATCACAGATTGTTTATTATACATTTATTGTTATAACCAAGCCAAGGGTGGTATAAAAATACATGATATTTTAAACGACCATGGTTTTTTCATTCTCATTTCACCTACATAAGTCGTGGGTACTACACGAAACAGAATGCCCAGAGGCTGTTCAAGAAAGTTTCAACACCAATGATTTCTACAGCAAATGCCGAGTGGAAATTACCGTGGCCAGTATTTATTCGTGTTAAGACAGAGAAACCCTTATCTAAGATCTAGGAGAGCCCTCACCTTTTAATTAAACTTCTATCGGAATGTTTGTGAAAGGAAAAACATGACTTGAGGCAGTTTTTTCCGTTAATTTTTTTAATGTTTGTAGATAAGTTCAAGGGTTAAATAAGATTAAGATTATATTAGATTATTTGATCTAAATTGTAAATCGTAAAGACATTAAAACATTTATTTGGCTATGTAATTATACCAATTTAAAATAATCTTCGAGCTGTATAGGACCTGCTGTTATAGAAATAAATCATAAGTTTGTGTAACTATTTGAAAGTGTTTTAGGTAAGGAATAAATCAAGGAGAATTAAGTGATAAACTTCGAGAATATTCTCAAGTTTAATGAAATCTAATCTTTAATGAGTATCAAAGCATCATGGTGACTTAGATTATTAAGACATTTAATATTTAGTGTACGGTGATCAGACTGAATATATAAATATTTTGTAAGATAGTCGTTAGCCAATCGTTTATATTACGTATATAAAATGAATCAGTGGCGCTACAACCTCTTTAGGTCTTGGCCTCAGATTTCCGAATCTGTTTCAAGTAGGTGATCAGCCTCCAGTGCCTGACACACGCCGTCGACTTTTGGGTCTAAGACATGTCGGTTTCCTCACGATGTTTTCCTTCACCGTTCGAGCAAATGTTAAATGTGCACATGGAAAGAAAGTCCATTGGTGCACAGCCGGGGATCGAAACTACGACCTCAGGTATGAGAGTCGCACGCTGAAGCCACTAGGCCAGGCAGTGTGCTCTCTATTACTTATATAGTACATATAAAAGTCATTGTAGAATAAATTTTATCAGAAGTTACGACGTTCTTACAACACAGCTATTTTAAGGTTATTGAACCCACACATAAAGCGCTTCAATTTGATATCATTTATTACCAATTACGACTTAAATGTAAGGTCAACTCAATTCTTAATATGTCTTTTAAGTGGAACTAAACACTATGTGTTGTTGCTTAGCTGAAAATTTTCTCATGCCAGTACTAGGCCTCATAGTATAATCTAAAATAAATAAATCAGCCGCCCAACAATACAGTTATTAAAAATAATGAGATGATAGAAATAGTAATGTTAAAAAGTATCTGAAATGAAAGGATTTTATTATTCTTATTATTTTAGTATAACAAATAGTTTCTTGTTAGGATTGACCGTCAACAACCTGCAATTACTCCTGTATAGAGCATGGTACGTCTCCATCACATATCAAGTTATCACAATTTTATTCATGTGTAAACTCACTTATTTATCAAAACTATAAGTACCATTACACTGCAATTAGAGTATTCATTGTTTATCATATTGTACTTATATAAAATACAGTTCAATGCTTTAGTTAAGTAAATCATGGTTCCGGATAAGAGATTTTTGATGGTTTTAATTTCCGGTTTGGTTATAAAATGGAAATTTCAATTGAGGACGAGATTAATGTCTATAAATTTTTGAATTTGATTTTTTTGAAATAGCTTTTGAAATAAAGTGACAAACCTTATTCCCATTGTAAAATTATGACCAGGGTTAATTTCTTTGCTGTTATCCAGTTTACGTATACGTTTTATTGTAATATAGTTTAACAATACCTTTAACCAAATCGTGTATATTTTAAAATTTTCCCGAAAACTAAATGTATATAAAAAATATTAAATAAAATTGTTATTATCACAAATATATGTTTTTCGGATATCAGGTATAACATTTATTAAAATTCTTTCAAAGTTATATTAATCTAGAATAAAACAAACATATTCGCTTGGATGAAGATTTCCACTCTAAAACTAACTCATTGAAATTTTCAATTAGCTAAAAACCTTTGTTGTAGAACTGAATCTATCAACTATGTTGTCGTATTTAAGCTAACTTTCCAACAAAGTATAGTACATATGCAGTAATAAATATGCACCAAATGATTTTTTACTATTACTATAATATGTGCAATAAATAATTGCCATACAATAAAGGATCATCACGAACAACCACAAAAAAAATCACGATAAATTTAAGGCACAGAAATCTATAAAGAAAACAGATCTGAGGCCAAAACTGAAGATTGTAGAGATATGATAATAAATTCAGATTCAGAAGTGCAAAGAACATTTTATTAGACAATCACTACTTATAACACAAAGCCAATATTTCTACTTTGTATTTACATATAACATGAGTTCAAGTGAAACAATTGATATATGTATAATAAATTAATCTTGATCCTGTGGTTTTCTTTCCCTAGTTGTAGTCAGTACGTCAACCTAGAACACAAAAAATAGATTAGTAAAATAAGTTGAGCATTTGCTATTATTGCAAAAATACCAGTTATTGTTCAGGTTAAATAAGTCGCAAACATCGTAACCAAGAGATTAAACCTGTATCGTGATCGATTGCTTTTTTTTGTCTAATAGATAAGTAAGTAATCAGCCGTCTGTGCCTGAAACTCGCCGTCGACTTTTTGGGTCTAAAGCATGCTGTTGTTTTCTTCACAATGTCCCTTCACCGTAAGATCGAGTGTAAAATGCGCACAACGTGCACACATAAAGTCCATTGGTGCACAGCCGGGGATCGAACCTACAACCTCAGGGAAGAGAGTCACACGCTGAAACCAACTCTGCTTATATTGAACACCAACATATTTTTATGAAGATGCATGTTAGAAGTATCTGTGGTGGTATAGTGCACACCTTCTGTTAACCGATGAAATGTTCAATGTTCTATCCACACAACGCCATCAGTGTTGGCAACACACCCGCAAGACCTCCGCCGTTGCAGGTGCCCATGGGCGGCGGTTAGGACTTTATACAATGTGCCTACTTGTTCGCTCCTGTCCTATAAGGAAATCTTGAGTACCTTTTTACCATGAGAATGCATAAACGTACTTCGGGATATTATTGAAAAGTGGTAAGCACATTCTTCCAAATACAAGAGTTAGTTAATTATATTAATAGCAATTACCACTCTAGTAAGTTTTCCCAAATGCTCTTCAACGTTATGGAACAGTGGTTGCAGCTTCGTCTCTGTAACGTCATCCACTATCTCGGTCAAGGTTTGGCGAACACAATTTCTAAATTCCTTTATGTCATGCTGGAAGATGTCCCATGTGATTGGGGTCTTGTCTTTGCTATAACGCTCATATTTTGGACCTTCGGACTGTAATTAAAAATTATTATTATTATTTAAGAAATAAAATTATCATAGCGTTCGAATTGTTATTGATTTGAAAGTAGGGATTTGTTTGGTTCGTTAGTTGGTTTGGTGGTTTAGTTTTGTAAACACTTCGTTAACCTACAGTGCTTTATTTTTATTACATTTAATCACAATAAATCACAGACAAAAATTAAACATATTATGTTAATATATAGAGAAAAAAATTGTTAAATCGCCTTATAAAAGAAAATACATTTAAGAGATAGACTGCTTTACTGCGCCGGCCATTGCGCTGACTCAAAATTAAAGACTCCTCTATTTTTATCTCTTAAAATATATTTCCACGCGAGGATAGCCGTAATAGCTGACATTAAATTAACCTGCTTTTTTTATTTACTCTTTCACAGGAATCACGCTTTCCTCACACATCGTATAAATCTAATTCCACCATAATTACGAGTTTAGTACTTCAGGAACGGCTTTTAGACTTATATTTTTTTCGTATAAATAATTACAAATTATTATTTTATCCCATTAGCCTAAAACTAACCCTTCGGGAAGATTGATTTAAGTGATATATAGCCCGGCTTATATTGGTCATAGTTCCATCGTGACCCCGACAACATAGACTGCTGAATGTCGTCAGCAAGATGGAAGGCAAAAAAATACAATAATAGCTGGTTCTTCTACATTGACCTATTCCAACCTTACCTCATATCTTCGAATTTTGTTCCACGAGTGTTCGAAAAAGCTAAGTAAAGGCTGCAAATGCTCGTTTTTGACAATATTGACAGTATTTGACAGAGTTTCACCGTAGCAGTACTTGACTCTCTCAATAATGCCGTACGAGGTTTCTGCGTTTGACGCTTCTTCCGCCCCTTCTACCTCAGTGACCACATCTCGCTTCGCGAATGCATTTACCTGTAACATTATCCTTTATAATTAATAAAATGATAAATTTGGCATCTAAAAAATAAATATATAGTTCACATAATACAGATATTTATGTACACTTATACTAACTAATTGTGAAAGAATCTATTCGATAAAGTTTTCGTATTAGTTTATCGATAAGTAAGGCGATTTTAGACAATTATCTTCACTGTTGTGTTTATATGGTCGTGAATTCGATAGAGATGAAACAATTGTGTCTAGTTCTGGTGCTTGATGATGCCAAAAATGCAAAAATATATAGTATATAATACAGTAAGCAAAAAACGCAATCTGCAGGCACAATGCAGCAATTCAAATATAAATTACTGTATTTAAATCTGGTAAAAAGCTATACTCACATTCGCAATAATCAAAACACTGAACAATAAACAAATCCTAGTATCCATTTTGCTGCCTAATATTAAAATGCAAATATTTTCGTGTTTTCGCAGCCTTATGTAGTTCATTGCTATAAATTATTCATAACAAAGATATATAGTTCATTAATAAATAAAACGCATTTTAGCCCGCGTAACCGCAGATTGCCCACAAAATGCGGTTGTTAAAACCACGTTCAGCCAACAAAACTATTTTGGATTATTAATAATCCTTATATTAACCATAATTTTGAAATTCTAGAATGATATAATTCATTAAAAAACAACTACAAAATCACTACAGTGAGATTAATTACAGTCTTTCTAAATCTTTTAATTATAAAAATAAGGTAATTACGTAATAGTTTTTATTTCAAGATTACGGCAAAACTTCGTTGACGATATATTTTTTCCGAGACACCAATAAAGACTATGTTTGTTTTTATTTATTTATTTCTTTACACAAAGAGCTAAATTTAAACAACATTATATCATATACTATGTGTATAGTATTAACTTATTATAAAATTTAGATAAGTCGTAATAAAGGTTCAATTAGTTTCATCATACATTTGATTTGATAATTTTTTCATGGACAAGTATTTAGATGCAAATAATATTAGAAAAAAACTGCATTGTAAGTAATTGCACTGTAATATGTACATTTTTTTTAAATTTAAAGCGTATCGTACAATTATTTTGTCTTTTTGTATGACATATCCAATGCACGTATAATTCAGTTCCATTACACATAGAAGCAAGTCATTTAAGCATGCAACAATATTGAACAACGTACGACCAGGTTATCAATAAATTACAATGTACTTATAATTAAAGCGAAGGCAAAATATGAAATACTATTAATAAAATACAACGATAGAAAAAAAATATTTCAAAAGAAAATACATTTTACGTCACGAAACGTCAAGATAGATGTAACTATATCAAAGTAAATCATTGTTAAATTGTGATAAATATAAATGGCTTATTAAAATGGGTGACACCCGCATACAAAATGTTATTATTTATTATAACTCATTACACTTGTTCTACAACTGGTCCGACTGCATCACTTTCTGCTGGATTTAAATTTTCAACCACCGATTCCGGTTCTTCATCATTTGCACTGACTATCTCTGGGTTTGCTTTGGCCGAAGGATTTTCGGACTCTTGTGCTTCATGGTTTTTAGCAGCTTCAGGATTGTTTTCAAGTAAACTTTCTTCTGGAAAATCTAGAGGATTATCTTGTGGTGATTCCGGATTTGAAATCGTTGGATTGTGGTCTGGAACTAGTTGTAGAATCATTTGATCTTCACAACTACTGTCTTTGTCATCACTGGCGCTGTCCGTATCGAACTAAAATAAAATTGTTGGATATTAGTACTGCGATTTAAAACTTTAAACATGCCGCATGGCTCTTTATTTATTAGTATGAAATTTGCGTCCCGAAAAAAATAATAATATCCAAAATTTACTGAAAGTGAAATGGGTCCACTATTTCACATAAGTGTTACAAAATTAGTATTAATAGAATAATTCATATATGTTACGTGTATTATAATTGCAACCCCTTTAATTTTTTCGTTTCTGCATAAGATATAATTAACAGAATATTAATTATTTATTCTGCTCACTAATAAAAGAAACAACATATCTTAACTTGGCCTTATTTAACGTTTAATTATCGTAATTATTAAACACGATTTAAACGTATTTTTTACTGAATCATATTAGCAGCCAATAAATCTCTCCTACGTATAGTTATTATGTGGTATTGATGCAATGCCTATCGGTGCGCATATGTCGAAGCAGTTTTATAATTATACTTATATCCTATTTATTAAGATTGTGATAAAAATTCGTTCAAATGTGTGCGATAAAGTTTTCTTTTAAATATGTAATATTTTAGATGATTATAATATGTTACGGATATCTTAAACATAAGCCAACTTTTTTCAAAAGTCATGGTTATCGTTATATAGATTATTTTTATAATAATGTAATTCCACCTAAGTCCAGGGCCACAAAGACTATCGTAATCTTAGGTTTAACCTTAGAGAGCGTCTCTATAATATTTTGCACACCTTAAGCATCCTCCTGAACTAGGAAAGAAAAACGAAGTTTCTAAAATTGAGAAATAGAAAATTTAGTACATTTTCGAATGGAAAATCTAAGACCCGCTTCGTGTGCGTATTTGACACTAAACAGTAGCGCAAACATTAATTGTTCCAATGGAATACACAACAATACAGATTGTATAAAAATTAATTTGAACTCTAGAAAACAACAATTATCGCTTTAACGTTTACGAAGAATTGACGTACCTATCGTAACCTCGAATTTTAACAAACTCAAAACTAATGGGCCGTTTTCAAAAATTTCTTCACCATTAGAATGCCACATAGTCCCAACATGGGCTATATTTATTTTCAAGATAAGCGAAGCCGGGCAGGCTGCTGTAATAAAATAAACATAGGCCGAGAGCGTGGTATTTGTGTTAAGTAAGGGTTTACAAGCCACTTGGCAGATGCACTCTGTGGCAAGAGGAGCAATACAAACCTCGTTGAGCAAATATTTAACTTAGTTCCAAGTTACAATATACAAGTGGTATTAAGTTCTAAGTACGTACAATCTTAAGCTGTTTATATATATTATATATATACATATATATATATATATATATATATATATATATATAACAATATAAGACAACATTCTATTATATTGTGAAATGTACGTATATGTCAAATTACTTGTTTTATATGTTATTACATACATCAACAAGTTTATTTATCATCAATACTACTCACCAATAACATTAGAATTCTAAAAAATACTTTAATATTTCGAAACATGCTACTTGCTAGTACACGGAGAATTCTACACAAATGACAGGCAACTAAATAAAAAAATCATATTTCAAAACAAAAGTGTACCTTTTCAGACCCTTCTTTGTAACGTTAATCCTATTATTAGTTTCCGGACAAAATTTGAAACACGAACAAAGAGTAGAATTTTTCTTCGGAACTCATTATAATAAATTTGACCTACCATAAATACATAAAGTATATATAGTCCATTGAAATGGTTCATTTGCGAAACATTTGTTAGAGGACGTAATTTTATTTATGGAACATGTAAGGGGGGGTCAATACAAGTTTAAGTAAAATTGTTGGAATTGAAGAAAAATTATCGAAAATCTGTTTAAAATAAACGAGAGAACATAAAAGTAAATTAAAAATGTTGTTTTGACCGGTTTGTCATGAGCATTGACGAACCCGGTCAACTTTGGAGCGCTGTAACAGCGTTTAAAATTTAAAAAAAATATAGAGAAAAATCTTCAGAAAGAGATCCTCTACAAAATTGTTCTGACATTATTATTTGATAAAATCAAAAGGAAAAATTAGAATTTAGGAAATATAGCCAAAAACGTGTTTTCACCCCTTTTTCCAAGATGGCGGCAAGGGCGCCAACCCCACAAACTTGGGTTTAAGCTTGTATTGACCCGCCTACATATTTCATAAATAAAATTGTGTCCTCTAAAAAATGTTCAGTTCGGCCCTCAAATTGTAACATTTCAATGGACTAACATACAAAAATATTTGACATAAGTAAAAAATGTCAAATGGAAATAATTTAAAATTTTCACTAGACTTAAGTTTGATGCTTTACAAAGCAGCTTTATGTGTACGAAGATATAATTATATAGTGTCATACAAGAAAGTTAACTAAAAAAACGTTCTTTACTACTTCTTGTAAATTGTAGAAGACACGAGTACTAATTACACATGTACAATTAGCCAACCTAGATAATGTATTTACATTTAATCACTTACCATAAAATTTAAAAAGGGCATCAGTGCCTGCATATCTGCATTGATTTCGTCTTCAATGTTTTCAATTTCCGACAGAATCGGTCCCAAGTGGTAATCACTTGATGATGAGGTATTTGCCACGAACAAATGTAACGCATCTGATCCAGCGCTTACCGCCTGATCAGCCGGTCTACATTGTACCTGAAATTTTGAATTAAGTTTCCAAGGACCGTTATAGAGTTGGAATAAATCAAATATTCATATGATGGAAACTTGAAAAAGAAGATGGCCGTGCGATAGTCAATCTTAAGAGAATTCATTAATCGCGAAGAGACTAATAGATGTTTACATTTTAGACGAATAATTTTCATACATACAAAAACCTCTGAATTCATTTCATATGAAGAAATGTTAGAAAGCATTATATACAGATCAAAGGTCATTTTGTGATTTGGTTGTACTATTCATACTTTTTAGCGCGAAACTTGTAGAGTCTATGGCATATTACAATAATCTGTGGACGCGTCCGCTTTGTATGTTTGGATTTTAAAGATACGTTGGACCTTTTACTACATAGGACCAGTATAAGAAATTAGATATATGTATGAAACTGTACGTAACAAGATATTAAGTATGTCGTGGAGTTTCTTGCCCATTCTTCTCCACACGAAACTACCTTTTGGAAGGGGCAACTAGAATCATCTTTATATTTTTTTTTTTTGACGTTCAAAAGTGCCATTTTAGATGGTCTAATTGAAATAAACGATTTGACTTTGACTTCGTGAGTTTCTATACACGTCAGGTTAACGGTTGTTACATCCATTTTTATAATTTAGTTAAACAATAGTTTATTTGCTCTTAGAAAACCAATAACATCGATAAGGACTATATACAGTATAGAAATGTAAACACAAAAATCTTACTTGGTGCAAGACTGCCAAACTCAATAAAAAACCCAACATTTTGAACCACTTCTAAGAAGTATGTACTTAGACTAATACATATATTTTATGCACCTGCTTAAATAGATATATTTTGTCATTGTCACTCAAAACAGTGCATTTGTCACGTTCTCAGTGGTTATCAATTTTTATAAACCGATTTAGTTGTTTACTTACATGACATACTTCATTCAATAAAGGCTTAAACAATAATAATACTTTAGTACCAGTTGTAGATTCTAATGATCAACCCCAAACAATCTTTATTTATTTATTAAAGTAGGTACACCACATCATCAATAATAAATACATTTTCTACAAGATAATTTACAATCTATCTATTCTAAAATAGATGACAATTACGGTGAACATAAAATTAACAAAAAAATATGTCAAAAATAGAGAAGAAAAAAATGAATTTGTTGTACATATTTTGTTCTTACTTAGAAATTATCTAAAAATACTTACTCGCCTCGCCTACTGCGGATTAGGAAGGTACCTGTTAGGTGCTTAACAACTTTTTTTTAAATTGATCAACCCACTACCGAATATATCAAGCTTTGAATAAGTAGCATTAAATCTGTTGTATTCGTGAAGAATTCGAACGAGAGGTGCCTTAACTTATAGGTTCGTTTATCTGAGCTAAAATGAAGCGAAATGGCAAAAAATATTTATTTCTAATATTAAACTGAAAACAAGTGTCATAGTTGCCTTGTAGGGGAATCTAAAGACCTACGTAGGGTTCTTAATTTTATATGAGTTGCCTGGGCATGCAAATTAAAATCTTTAGCTGGCCCGATCAAAATTTTGCCATGCACCTTTCGATATTTCTTTTTATGTTCAGAATTAACACACCCTTCTACGGCGAAGATGCAAGCATGTCCGCTGCACAGCTGGTATTTGAAAATACATAATATCAAATTTTTAAGTCGGGATATGTATGCCTATTTTTTATAGATTTTTTATTGTGCGGCTTTTTTTAAAATAATCAATCTAAATGTACCACTTTCTTTGCAAATAAACGATTAATCATTATTATGATCGTACATAGACCACTACTACCCCAGTTTGTGGAGTAACCCCACTGTATCGTCGTAGATGTCGTGATATATTTTTAAAGTATCTATATATAATTATGTCATAAGAATATCAGATATCACTTGGTCTTGTCATATTATCAAAATAATCAAAAATGCTGAATCAAATATCTCGCGTGTCAATTTGGATTTTTCTATAGTACCTAGCCGTTGGATACAATAACACCCCAATGGGTAAGATTCAATACATGTAAACATACGAAACTCTAAGATTAACGTCATAAGCGAGTATGTTTAGATATTCCACCTACATGACAATCACGAGTTATAAGTGTAAAGTTCACATTTGATAAGACCTTGACTCATGCTTGATATCAAATAATAACATATTAGTATTTGACATTAATTAAAAATATTTATTCATCAAGAAGAAATTACGTACCTACTTGATTTTTTCACAGTTATTAAATGCATTTTTAATAACTGTGAAAAAATTGCATTTGCATCATTGCAGATTGCATAGATGTTTGCTGAAGCGATATATTCCTATTGTTTCACCGGTATTTCAAAATCACGGCCTTGATCTAGTTAATGCAGATTTTTATAGACCCTTCATGAGTGAACTGAATTTGATATATTTTTCAATGTTTGTATTTTACTAACAATTATTTATAAACTGATTGTACGCTTCTGGGCCTTTGGGTAAAGTATAAATTTAGCGTAAAAGACGGGGTATGTAAAATCCAATTTGTATTTTACAGGAGTCATACTTATCGTTAAGTAGTGACTATGAGTTCTACTATTAAAGTAAACACACAAACCCTTTTCAATCAGCTACAAACAGCTGATTGCCTTAATAATAAGTAGCTGATTTTTTTTATTAAATATGAAGGTACGGGAACTATCACACCTAATTCATCACAGTAACATTCTAACTTTACAAAATATATAGTATAGAAATGGTTCGATATGTAATAAAATCTTGATTTGAGGGCACATAAAACACAAGAACTAAGTTCTATAAGTACATTTTTACACGAAAAAGCCCTATCCTAATGGAGTGGAAGAAATAATTCTTACGAGAATTTTTTCGACACAAATGTTTCTTATATTGATTTCCAATAGTTTGGCGTTTGTATAGACGAAGAAAAAGTTCTACATATATTAATAGGAATCAAAGTTTAAACTAAACTTTACAGTTAAAGAACCTCCTTAAGGAGCCTCTTCCTTAACGAACACGGAACTATTTATTAGGTTTAAATAATCTTAGAGAATTAATATTAATGAAGTGAGTCGTTGCCTGAAAATTAAAAGAAAAACTTATTCCATATTTTATAAGTATGTTTTTAATACAACGTAAGTTCCCGTATATTCCTAGCATACATTATTATTAAAAGAATAAGGGCTTAAGTGAAGTGGAGCAAGTTTATATGAACATAAAATTCCAGTTTCCCGATATTGAATATTCATGTCGCAGTACGGGTACGTTGATACAAGACGTTGAAAATTTTTATTGAAAATTACTTTAAACTTCCTCCTTGAGTGAAGTGGTCGTTTTATTTTAACTCTGTTGCGTAATATTTCCAAAAGATTGTTTGTTCATGCTACCATAAAACAAACGTTCCGTTTCATTACCTACAATATCCTTGAAATAAGTTTTTATTATGTAATGTACACTTATTATTATTTACCTTTATATTAGTTTTGATACATAAAAAATTAACGTAATGAAAATCGCTGTATTTTTTAAATTATTATAATTATATTATGGTATGCTACCTCATAGAAACTGTTCTCTTTTCTAGAACAAAGTTTCAGTACTTAATTAAACATTTTTTTTATCTCCGTAAAAACCTTCCTCAGAGTACAAGGAATAAATTTAAATGAAATACTCGAATAGGACAAGCCGTCTCCGAATTTTGCGCTAGCGACATATTTCGCGAATAATTGCATCATCATTACTATTTAGGTAAGAATAATATAAATACTTTTTACAGATTTATATTTGGTTTATTCTCGATTATATATAAAACTTAGTAACTGACGTGAGACCTCCACTATTTAGTTGTTTTAATAGAGGAAGTTTTATTTTAATGTGTCTCGCGCTAATCAAAGACAATCTTATAATAAATTAATAAGTAATAATATTTGTACAAATTAAGAAGTAGGCTATTCAAAAATATTTAATTTTTTCCCAATACATTCAAGGAAGTATGAAGTATGCGATTGTTCATAGTTCAACTAATTATATATTCTATGCTATAAATGTCGACGTTAATGTCATTTTGTGATCCAACCCAACGTGCACCAATGGACTTCTATGTGGGCTTTAAACGCATTTACAGTGCAGGAAAATATCGTGAGAGCACCGGCATTAGAAGTTAAAAGTCGACGGTGTGTATCAGGCACAGAAGGGTGATCACCTAATTGTCTATTAGAGATAACAAATAATCAAGATACACGGAGCGCATTTTTTCGTTTAGTGTTTCCGCTTCAAACCAGTTTTCACAATCGATGATTTCGTATTTTAGGTTTTGATCAACCGGCGTCACTAGATAGTGCCTTCAAAATGGTGGTTTAATAAACTAAAATACAATATGTTAGTTTAAGAACTAAATCTTTTTGTTTATAGATGATCATGAAACATATTGGTAACTATTAAATGCTTTATTCCGCATCGCATGCGCATAGACTAATGACTAATTAATATTCAAATACACTAATTACATCGCTTTGTACTGAGTACAGTGCGTGTTAAGTATAGCGGTTAAGTTCATTACCATTGCTCTAGATACATAGCATTCATTTATTTGAATGTTTCTATATTTAATTATTAACACTTAGTACATATGTATAATAATATCAGGAAAACATAGTACCTACAATGGAATCCATTATTAATCTAATTAAGCTAATCAGCTGGTGGCCCTCTAGAGCTAGCGATTAGCAGTAAGGCTTTCGTCGTGGTCGTTCAGCTGGTGACCTTCTTGTGTACCTTACACATAGTTGGGCAGATAATATTCTTCATTTTTGTGGCGCACCACCGCTATGTGGAACCAGCTGCCCACTGAAGTATTTCCGAACCAATTCTACTTAGGGTCCTTCAAGAAAAGAGCGTACCAATTCTTAAAAGGCCGACAACGCACTGGCGAGCCCTCTGGCATTGAGAGTGTCCATGGGCGCGGTATCACTTAACATCAGGTGAGCCTCCGACCCGTTTACCTCCTATTAAATAAAAAAAAAACACGTTCATTTCCAATAAAAATCAATTAAATATATCATATTAATACGAAAAGCCAATAATAACAAAACCAAGGAAATTACTGCCAACGTTGCAGTTGATTTTGCCTGCCAACGTTAACTATGCGTTTGCCTATAAGTACGTATATATCCCTCTAGGAAAAACTAATGACAGAATGTCGTCTATGGATTTTTGCTTAACACACTATTAAGGTCTCCAATAGCAGCAATGTTATTTAAAGTTGAGTCTAATACCGTCGTAGCAAGGTTTATTTTTTATTGGATGATTGTGGCTCTGATTAATTACAAGTGCAATATGTAAAAAAAATTGGCTAAAAGTTTTCTGTGTTTTGCGTCATTCTGTAATTTAAAAGAAATTAATTTATTTTTATTGCGTCTTTCGGTAGTTTACAGGAAATTAATTTGTTTTTTGCGTTATTTTGTAATTTACAAGAAATTTATTTATTTTTATTGCGTCTTTCGGTAGTTTACAGGAAATTAATGTGATTTTTGCGTTATTTTGTAATTTACAAGAAATTTATTTATTTTTATTGCGTCTTTCGGTAGTTTACAGGAAATTTATTTGTTTTTTGCGTTATTTTGTAATTTACAAGAAATTTATTTATTTTTATTGCGTCTTTCGGTAGTTTATAGGAAATTAATTAGTTTTTTGCGTTATTTTGTAATTTACAAGAAATTAATTAATTTTTATTGCGTCATTCTGTAGCTTACAGGAAATTAATTTTTTTTTGCGTCAATGTGAAGTTACTAAATTACATTTACAATAATTGCATAAATAAAGTACTGGTTACCTCTTAATTAGAACGACAAGCTTTAAGTATCACTCGCAGTAGCAAATCTGCTGCAATGCCAGTTCATCTCTTCCGTTCTACGCCCTTGATTTGAGAACTGGCAGTAAATGTAAAATTAGAAGCATATTTCTTTTTTGACGTTCATAAGTGTACGTTGTGTTATATGAATACATGATTTTGAATTGACTTTGAATTGAATGACATCCTAATCTTATAGTTTCAAACACAAATTGTAAAACGAACAGTTATAATGAATTTTGGAGGATTCTAATCCACCAGTGTCTTCTACGGGTTATTTTATTGACGAGACTATAGTTAGTGAAGCACTGAACTTTATATGATTCAATTAAATTGAGGGTTCTACGTTAAAAAATTTACAAAAATTGTACATACATGCATATTGTTGTAAGACTTGTAAATAAATAAAATCATCGAACTATGAAGAAGTATTCTACTAATTTATAAATATTTTGTGTTTTTTAAACGCTTCAAAATATATAATTACATTTAATTTTACAATAAGTAACAATAAACAATTTTAGGATTGCTAATTTTTTTTGGAGAAAGACAAGCCTTGAGGCTAACTAATAAAAGATTCTTCTTATTGTTCAATACAATGATCATTGCGATAGAATATACATAATAATATTATTAGCTAAATTATTGTAGATTTTGTTAGGCATTTTATAAATATATTTTAACTTTCTCTTTATCATGAACAAGTCTTTATAAAGATAAATAGTATAAATTTCTCAATTGTAAAGGTAAGAAATTATTGTCTTATTTTCGGAGCATGAGGATTAATTCTAAAATGCTGAAATATTTCCTTACATTTCTCCTTCTTTCAACATCAAATGTTTACGGTAAGTGACTTTTTTCTCTTATAACTTATAACCGGCTAAGTCGACAATTGCTATTCTTTTGTAGTTGTTATGTCATTAACATACATTAGTACTATTAACAAAGTCAAACTTGCTGCTTAATTGCCCCGTAGACCTGATGGGGCATGGGGTCTGTACAATTGATATTAAAAAAATTGTTTCGTCGTTAATCCAACACATTGCCATCCAGGGTATACGGCATCTGTGTTAACCACTAACCCACGTAAAACTGCTTCCTCTAATTTTCTACTAAAAATAATAACTAAATAAAATAGACCTTTCTTTGATACACTTCTGCGATCATATTGTACTTAGGAGATGATATACAAACACGAATCGTTGGGGGTCAAGATGCAACAGAGGGTTTAGCGCCATATCAGGTATCAATGAGGGTTACAAATTCACAATTTAAGAACTTACATTTCTGTGGTGGTGCCATTATTAACGAAAGGTGGATTTTAACAGCTGCCCATTGTAGGGTAGGGTGAGTATATGATTTTCTATACAGCTAATATTTTTATAATCACACAATCCTAAGCAAAATTTAAAGCATTTGATTGGTGCATAAACCATATAAACTTTAGAAGTGTTTTAGTTTCTTTCTTCGAATTTGAAGCTAATGAATATTTTATGCCCTAAGCTGTTAAAATTAATAAATATAAAAATTATTTTTTTTTAACTTGAAGAACACGTATACAATATAAATAATAAACGTAAACAAATATTATAAAGTAACATTACGTTGGGTTAAAAATCGAGGGCGTATGTCAGAGAATTCTGATCACCTCACATCACGCAAAAAATAACGCGAAACACATACTGAAATCTGATACCAACGGGTTGCAGAGCTTCTGGTCTTTTACGAAAGATATAGTCTAGTCATTGTAAACTATGTTTCAGCGTTGATCCCCAATACGTCACAGTTGTGGTTGGAACAAACCTGCTCTCTTCCGGAGGTGACTCATACCCAGTTGAATCTTTCGTTGGACATGAAGACTTTGACACCAAAACATTCTTTAACGATATTGCCCTGCTTAAGGTCTCGAAAGATATTCAATTTAACGACAAGGTGCAGCCGATCCAGATGGCCACAAGCAATACTCCTCCTGGTACTCAATGTCTACTCACTGGATGGGGATTTACTGATGTGAGATAATAATCATTGCTTTATTTTAAACGTTAGTAATCATAAAGACGACTTCATTTGCGAAATAATATTAAGCTTTGTACAGTGCCTAAATCTGCTCTTATTCCTATTATTAAATTATAAACTTTTCATGTAAAAAAATATCATTATAGTTTATTCGGTTCTCTGTCTAGCAGAGATCTTGGTGTATATGCTGGGTAGAATAAATTATATTTTCGATGTTTATTGTTTTCAGAGACAACGTACAATTACGCCAGATAAATTGCAAATGCTTAAGGCACCAACTATTTCTAAGGAAAACTGTCAAAAGAGACTGAGAAGAGCACCAGGATTTGTTATCACTGAGAAGCATATTTGTACTTTGTTGAAACGCGGCAAGGGTAGTTGCCAGGTAATGTTATAACTTATAGTTACCACTTATATATAAAGTCAATCCGTCTTTGTTTCTGTTTGTTTGTTGTCCGTCTGTCTGTGTATTGTTTAAAGTTAATCACTTTTCCACTATGTAGATGAGTCTAGCAGAAATTATTTAAGCCTTTATTTGTACTTAGTCTAGAGTAATTTTGTCAGTTGTTTCTCAGCCAAGACCTCCTTCAAATGTCGCCATGTTGATCTGTCCTGTAAGCTATTCTATAACATTCTAGCCCGGCTAACTTTCTTTGGTCATCCTCCCAACGCCTCGCCTTCTCTCACTTCTCTTTCTATTCCTGGGGTACCACTCTGTTACCTTCTTTGTCTTTTCCTTTCTTCTCTCACCAAACGAGTTTAGTTTGTGAAGTAAACAGTAGGATATTATGCATTCTCTGCCTAAGAATTATAAGTAACGCCGGACCCGTGTTTAGTATTTTTTTTTGTTTTATTTCAGGGTGATTCTGGTGGTCCTTTGGTTAATGACCAAAAGTTAGTTGGTGTAACTTCCCGTGGTATACCATGTGCCCGCGGCTACCCGGACACTTTCACAAATGTCGCCGCCTACCAAGAGTGGATTAAAAGCAAAATGGGAAAATAAACTCTGTCTATAAATGCAATATAAAAATGTATTTGTATTATTGAAACGTCAAGTTATTGTTATACTGTCTGATGCCTCATTGATAAAGTGTTCGCATATCCAACCGCACTATACATTTGCACACACACTTGTGCATAACTCCTGCGCTTACTCTCGATAGAAATTCAACGCGATACCTAATAATTCCAGAAACCTAAGGTGATAAAGTTCAATTTAAAGTCAACTTTCTAGATAAATATGAGCGATGATAATTTTATTGTTACGTTATTGTTCGAATTATTACGTGTACGTGACTTATTAACAGAAATGGACGTCATAAAAACTCGTGTAACAGTTTGGTCAATGGATTTAAAATAACATTGTATTAAAATTCACGTAGTATGTATATTGCTATTCTGTAAACAGATTGGAAGTATTTACTTTAATTAAGACACATAGGTAAAATAACTAATGTTTACGGTCCTTCAATGCTCATACTCAGTTCTTGTGACTATAAATACCTAAGTTTATAAACTTATACCCCTTCATAACAGAGACCTTCTCAGCGCGTAGTCCATCTAGGGCTAATTAGCCTTACTTATTTAATAATTAGACTTATAAATTACGTCTACCCAAACACAGAACAAGACCCTGTACTTAATGAACACGAAGAGAAGTGTCTCTAACGATTATACGACTTATAATAGACTGAAACACACATGATATAAAAATAGCCTTTATTAATAGTAAAACATCATATTTCTCTTTAGTAGGCAGTTCATTGCTAAACTGTTTTTAAATAATTATACATAACATAAGGTAACCAACAGTTACTAGAATAAAGATTAAACAAATGTATTTAATAATACAAATATAGAGTATTGCCAATACTCTTGACCTACATAATCTAATAATAATACTAATTAAAAATGGATAACATAAAACTAAAAATATAATAAATTTGGACCCTGTGGCAGTGTTCCTTTAAAGCTGCCAGCATTTCCTCGCTGTATGATACTTATTCGTGGAGCCAGGAAAGCACCAGCTCTGGGGTAACCGGTACTATCTACCAGGTGCCAACTTAAATCTTTAATTGGATTTGCACGACGGTAGTTAAAAATCCAACCCTAGGCTTCAGATACCTGTCATATATTCATCTTTATTTTTTGGTGATCAGCCTATATGTGCCTAACACATATGGTCGATATTGTTATCTAAGACGATTTGCTCACGATTGCCTTTACCGTACGGGCAAGTGTGCCTTGCACTCGTAGAGACAGGAATCCATTGGTATACGATTGCTGGATGTAATTAGAACGAATGACCTTGGTTCCTACCTTTGCTTGAGTTGCGTGCTCAATCCACTGGGCCAGCGCTTGCGCGGCGGATGTTATATGAATAAAATTTACATAAAATCACTATTTAATTCAATCTATGTATACATATTATATTAATCATAGAATATATATTTTATAGTAACTCCTGTGTAGGAAAGAACAGTTTTGGCAATTCAAACTGATAAGACATTTTATAATTTTTTAAAGGATTTAGTTGTTTTATTATTTAATTAACTCATCTCCTTCTTGTTTTAAATTATCCAGTTATATTTATAAAATAAAAAATAAAAATAAAAATAGCCTTTATTCGAGTACACTATAACTACAGTAAGTCCATGTCTTTTAAGTTTTACACTTGTACTCGACCTCCGATGGAGTGAAGGCCTCCTCCAGAATCTTCCACTTATCCCTATTTGATGCGACAATTTTCCAGTTTTTTCCCGCTATCCCTTTTAAATCATCTTCCCAAATTTTCGGTGGGCATCCTCTCTTTCTTCTTCCCACTGGGCCCTTCCAAGTAAGGGTCTTTTTGACCCATCTACCATCACAAATGCGGCCAATGTGACCGGCCCATTACCATTTTAGCCTTTTTGTATAAGTTACAACATCTTTTATTTTTGTACGACTTCGTATCACCTTGTTTTTTATTTTGTCTTTAAGCTTCAATTGAAGAATGGAGCGCTCCATAGCCCAGTTATATTATAGGTTCAAATTAAAAAGTTATCACATTAAATATACGCTAATCAGTAACTTGAAGTAATAATAGCTTTATCTTCGTACCATTTGGCTAACCGTCGGTCCGGCACGTATTCGTACGTGTTGCTCGCGAACTTAGATAATCATAATTTATATTAATAGACCAACAAAGAAGTTCGATTAATAGCTTTTCATTAATTTGTACTCGTAAATTTACATTAAAAATATGGATGGCTTGGATAAAGAGCGATTTTAATAAATACAATTAACAACACAAAACACACGGCTCAATAAAAGTTAATGTAACTTTTAACTAAAATAAGAAAAGGTTTTTTAATCAATGAAATAGTAGTTTTAGTTGAAACAAAGTAATATAATTTCTTACATTTTCTTCGCATAGATTTGTCTTAGTTTTGTCATAGACAAGACGCGTTTTATCGGTAATAAATGAATAATGGTTACAATATTTTATCGACTACCAACTTCCTCTTCTACAATAATATGTCGTAGGAAAACTAAAGGTGGAGAAACCGTGCTAATTAGAAGCTTTGATACGCCAATGCAATACTTAAAATTAAATCGCATAATAACGAAGCATCTCAAAAAAAATTCAATGGAAATTTCACTGTTTGCGATTTGAGTTTCTATTATTTAACACAAACCATTAAACTTGTTCAATGCGTTCTATGAGAAACATAAAAATATAAATAATCTAACACCGCAGTGTATAATTTCATTGATGTATTGTTAGCTATATATATATGTATATCACTAGTTATCAAAAATAAGCTACTCGAACTGAGTCTACTATCACTACAGAGCACTTACCGACGTTTTATACTTACGTGTGGTAATCCTAACGCGTCACGTGTGGTAGTCAGAAGCGAGGTCGTATATCATGGCGTGTCTCAATTAAATGGCTGTCATTTGCAGCCGGCACATGTGAAGTTTTAATATTATTTACGTTGTAAAAACTAATATTGGTTGATCTTAAAATTACCTTAAAATGTAAAATAAAAAACGACTCTTAGCAATTACGAATGGTATTTTTCACTGTTTGTTCGATCGTACTAATTTAAAGTGTACTAATTTACTAATACTAAACGAGTACTAATTTAAAGTGAACATAAACGGCAAAGTAATTAGTTCCGACCTCGAAGTAGCCTCTGCATTTGAAGAGTTTTTTACTAACATTCCTTTAAATACAACCAGCGTTTTAAATTCTTCACCATCAGCCGCCCTTTTATTATTGAAAAAGAATGTTCCTGTTTGCAATCATAAGTTTGTATTTAGCCGCATTAGCTGCAATGACATTATAAAAACATAAATACTATCAGTTCAGAGTTGGCTATAATATTTAATAAATGTATAGATTGTGGAGTCTTTCCAGACCAGATGAAGATAAGTAAAATCACACCGTTATTCAAAACGGGCAGCACTTCGGACCCCACAAATTTTAGACCCATATCTGTGCTGCCGGCTTTAAGTAAAATCTTTGAAAAAATCATTCTAGAACAATTATTGATACATTTTAATAATAATAAAATTATGCATAGCCAGCAGTATGGTTTTACAAGAGGTCGCTCCACAGCAGATGCTGGCATTCAATTAATTTCCGAGATTTTAAATGCTTGGGAAAATTCTCATGATGCCATTGGAGTTTTTTGCGACTTATCAAAGGCTTTTGACTGTGTCCATCACGAAATCCTAATCAAGAAACTTCAACACTATGGCATTGGCGAAAAAGCGCTAAATCTTGTGGAATCATACCTGAGCGATAGAATTCAAAAGGTATATGTAAATGGAGCTATATCACAGGGATCCTCTGTTACTATGGGAGTACCGCAAGGCTCCATACTTGGTCCCTTCTTATTCCTCGTCTATATAAATGACCTGCCATTTCTTGTAAAGGAGCTTCACGAGATAGTACTGTTTGCTGATGACACTTCGCTTTTATTTAAAGTGAAACGACAAAATCCATCACTTGATAACGTAAACAGTGCCATCTCCAGTGTAGTTCACTGGTTTAATACAAATAATCTTAAGTTAAACGAAAAGAAGACAATATGTGTTAAATTTGTAACTACAAATGTAAAAAGTAGTCATTCTCAAATAATAATTAAAGACGAGAAAATAGACTTTGTTGATAATGCGGTGTTCTTGGGAATTACTTTAGATAGTAAACTCCAGTGGGGCCGACACATAGAAGGTCTTTCGAATAGGCTAAGTTCCGCAGCGTTCGCAGTAAAAAAGATACGCGATCTTACGGATGAGAACACAGCAAAGCTTGTTTATTTCAGCTATTTTCATAGTATTATGTCATATGGTGTTATTTTGTGGGGTAATGCAGCTGACATTAAATCGATATTTGTAGTGCAAAAGCGGGCTATAAGAGCGATCTGTGGGTTGTCCCCACGGGAGTCGGTCCGAAGCAAATTTAAGGAATTACATATTTTGACTCTGGCAAATCAATACATTTATGAGAATATTTTGTATGTGCGGAAAAATATAGATATCTTTAAAAAGAATAGTAGCTTCCATAATTATAGTACTCGTAATAAAGACAAAATCAGCGCACCAACCAGAAGGTTGCATAAAACGAGTAATTCTTTCCAAGGCAATTGTATACGTTTTTTCAACAAAATCACTAGTGAGATACAAGCGTTGTCAATAAATAAATTTAAATCGTACATTAAAGTAAAACTGCTTGCTAAGGCTTATTATAATATAAATGAATATTTAAACGATCCTAGTGCTTGGATATGAGTTGCTCCAGTATATATTATAGGTAACACGACTGAATCTCTCGGCTGCATTTCCAGACTCTGGGGCGATCGTCAACATCCACGACTGTTTTAATGTAAAGTGGGAACAAACCGTGATCCATGTAGTATCCAATTATTTCAGTATTATTATTATTTTCTTATGTAGCCAAGTCCACATTTCAAGGATCGTCATGCTCGCTTAAATGTCATTGCTTGTGGCGGCGTCCATGCGTCGGGTTGTCTCTCTTCCTAAAATATGGCGAGGGGGCCGATGGCTGGCCATGCGTCATACTCGTGAACGGGTGCTACTTGTGGTGACTGGTCGTACTTGAATTCGTGTATGCGGTGATGTTAATTATTTCGACTATGTGTTTGCGTGTTGTTCCCACGAGAATGTAAGTGCGTGCTCCTATTTCACCATGCCTCCTGCTGATAGGGGACAAGTCTTTGTTTTTATTTATGTTATTATTATTAATTACTTAAAATGTCATGTGGAACATGGTGTAATGGTTGCAGCTCCTTACAAACGTTGTGTAAAAAAAAAAAAAAAACATGGCGATTAAAAAGAGTGGCGGAGAGTTTATTGCCAGTTCTTCTCTTCCGTTCTACGCCCTTGATTTGAGAACTGGCAGTAAATGTAAAATTAGAAGCATTAATACTTATTTCTTTAATGACGAATCACAAGTGTACATTGTGTTACCTACGTGAATAAATGATTTTTGAATTTGAATTTGAATTTACTTAACATTTGTAAGAAACACTTTGTGACAGTAATAAATACACGATTACACACCATGGGAAAATTATTTTACAATTTAACAATCTTGCTTGAAGTAGTGTTAAATCAAAAATTAGTGTTATTGTATTAATATGTAAAACTGTAACAATTACTATAGACGAGGTTAATTAAACCATATGCCAACGATAGGTATATTAATATTACTAATACAGTGTACACTCTTTATAACGAATTTCAAGAGACCTAGCATTTTTTTTCGCTATAGAGACTGTTCGTTATAGGCAAGGAAGAGAAATAAAAACAAATTTAACCATAATTTATTTATTATCTACAAATATTTCTAATTTGATTACTATCAATAGGTAAATTATTCTAAACACATATAAACATAACGCATTTTTTTTACTGGCCATCTTGACAGTTCCAAAGTTTGGTTATTAAGAAAATATTCCTTCGTTATAGAGAGTGGCTATGGCGTAATAAAGAGGGAATACATATTTGGATTTTGTGTTAAACCAAACAAATGTAACTATTTTTGCGTAATAGAGAACTTTTCGTCATCACGAATGACGCTATAACGAGTTTCCACTGTACTTTAAACAAAAAGCATAGAAACGTTTTAAAATATGACAAAATGCTGGAAATATTGGTTCTACACGAAGCAGCAGGTGCGGGAAGTCCAATTGCAATGTTTTATCGATTTTAAAACCATATTTTACTGATTGCACGTTATGTACTTGTTATTGCGCCACAAACATATGGTGTCCTTTGTATTTTAAACTTTAAAATAGATTGCAAGTTAAAGTATTATTTTGGTATCATACATTATTGAATTCTAGTGTGCGCAGTATCGCTACTTATCTTTGAAAAACTCGAACTTGAAAATAAAGTATAATGTTATAACATACGGTAGTGAGTTCGATTCATGATTAAATATTTGTTTCGTTGTCCTATTCAAATTGAAAGTGATGTAAAAATCTTTTTCCACCATACCCCATGTTATAGGTCTCCAGACGTAAACATAAATAACCCTTTTGTATTAACAACGTGATGCGAGAAATTTTCCAAAAGTTATTCCTGTTACTTACCTGCAAGGGTCTGTTTATCTATGTTTCGTCCTGGATCCCAGGCAATTAACCCACAAACCGGCCATAATTTACTGTGAAGATTAATATTCCCGGACGCGGGCAACAATGAAGATAAAAATGATGGTTCTGGTTTATTTGAATCTCAGTTAAATGAATGAATATTTAGGAGTTAATTAGTTGACAAAAGTCGAGCGATATTTTTTCTGATATAAACATGTGCATATGAGCTTGGGTATAGACATATATATCATTTAAGGAAATGTGTTAAGCTTACGTCAGGAAAATTTCACAAGTCAAAAATATTTCGCTACAATTTAAAAACTAATTTTAGTCAACAACAAATATTAAAGAAAAATAAACAGCCTACGTACACGTATCAGAGCCTCATACTGTGCGACTAAGTACAGTCACACATAGTAGTGATAACACTGTCCCTTCTACCTCGCAATAGCAAGTGAGGCCGATCTTTTCCGACGAATCGCCCAGAAGTCATCAGTATGAGCCCGTTATGAATAAGACTAATGATTACCAAATAATTCCAGGTCTTTTCGAGACAGAAGGCGTACAGCTTCCAGGGACAGAGTGTGACTACCAGTTTAGTAGATCCGGCAACCGTCCTACACACGGCCGCCTCTACAGTCCTAGTTACCCGTCCGTCTACCCTAACAACGTGCGATGTTCCTACCATTTTCACGCAAGGTAAGAAATACCAGCTTAATATCAAGTTATGCGCTATTATTAAGAAAAGGAAGACGTGTCTTGTGTTGGAATAGTCACTTAGAATTAGTTAAGAACATCTCTATCGTCGCGCGTTGTCTTAACTTTAACATACTTATCAGTCAGCCAGTTCTTAATCAGCCCTGCGATTCTGTAACTCACTTTTCGAACTCACACACTCTGATAAACATTAAACTACAAGCTCCCACCTTTTCAGAATGCCAAATCATAAAATGACTGCTTCACGACTGATTTGTGAGCGACCGCCGATGCGAAAACCGCTGTGCGAGTTCGAAAAGTGAGTTACAGAATCGCAGGGCTGCAATGGTTTTCTAAAATCACTTGGTGGCGTTACAAAAACCGTTTCTGTAGTGCTGGGCTATTAGTTGAATTTATGTTTGGTAACATTTCAGACGAAATAATCAAAATTCGTTTTTACAACATCCAGTTGAAACCGGTTATTTAGTTGAAGCGTCAACGTTTCATATTTCAATCCATGGTTGGCGATTTTGTTATTTTAGTTGTATTAGATGAGATTTGTCTCTTCCAGGCATAATTATTGGTAGTAGAAAACTTTTTTGTTTTTTAATTGAACATCAACTATGCGGTAACAAATTATGTGAATAAATCTATAAGTCCGATATTAAAATACCCTTTACTTTACCCATTCCCTAGTATATTATTCTATATATATAAAAGAAAAATGGTCTTCGATTGAGGCTCCTTCACGCCTAAACCACTGATCGTATCGACATGAATTACCACCATTCGATGCGAAATTTTTCCTAGATGGTTTATGGCTATTTATTTATTCCAACGTTCCTTCATTTTTTTATTGCTGTTTTACTTTTATGAAAATTTATCCATACGGACTTCACCGCGGAAACATTCGGGGAGGCTTCCTAGAACCTCTAAACGTCAACATCTGTTAAAAACTCGATTTTCGAAATATTTCAATTTTCTTAGCGGGAAGTTAAAAAGAAGAATAATAAAAATATGAAAAAAAAATAAAATAATGAAACATAAAATTTATTTTAATTCGTCCAGCAAAGCGGGCGCGAAACGGCTAGTATCCAAATATATACAGAAGTATTTACTTAAAATTGTAGAAGTGAAAAGCTATTTTTCATTTTCAGACCGAAAGACCGCGTCAAAGTAGTCTTTGAAGAAATATTCTTACAAAAAGGAGATGTGAGGTAAGTCAAAGTTTGAATTTACAAGATGAGAGTTATTTAAACCCGAGAAAACAAGCTCGTAGACAGTTCTCTTCAAAGTCTATAAAATCTTAATTGAAACTCTTTGTAGAAATTTCCTTTATATTTTAATTAAAACATAGATTACAGATTGTAAATAACTCCTTCTGTCTTGAATACATTTTTTAATCTTACATTTCTTACCATAAATTACAAATAATTTATGTTTTACACTTCCATAATTATTTTGATCAATCTATCGTTTAATGAGGTAATAAAACGGTCTTAAACGCTAAAATATACAATTTTTTATATATACAAAGAATTAACGTAAACTATCTAACTTTGAGAAACTTAAATGTCGCAAAAGCTCCATTTGTAATACAAGGTTATGGGGTCAAATATCAAAGTTATGAAAAAAAGCCTAACTAGCTGCTAGTATAGTATTGTCTTTGATTAACATAACTTTTATTCATTTAATAAAACACTATTTTGACCGGATTGAAGTTATGTATTATTATAAATTTACAACTATTTAACATAATTTTAAATTCACAGTAGTCACCGTGACCACGCACGCTGTAAAGCACGCGAAACGTCGGATAAATTTAAAATTAAGTTAAATAGTTTTAAATTTATAATAATACATAACTTCAATCCGGTCAAAATAGTGTTTTATTAGCTGCTAGTAGTTAGTTCTAGCTGGATAGTAGTTAGTTCTAGCTGGATAGTAATTAGTTTAGTTCACCGGCACCACCCGCGTTTCTGGAAAGCCTAAGGCCCTTTCTCCACTGCTCCGGTCCGACGTCGGATACCGGAATGAGTCATTAGAAAAATATCGGAAGGCCGGATTGCGCTTCTCCACTATATCCGATCCGACAATAATCGATACTTGTATGTTTATCATGCTAATGTAACTAAATCCCATATACTTTATTTTATTAATAAAACGTTCTAAATTCTGAATATTTTATTGCCCTGACAAGTTTATTACTTTTTTTAAATTGTCTATCTTAAAATATTATAATCTACTTCTTTTTCTAATCCTTTCAAATTAAAGAAACTATAAATAAACCTGTGAATAATAATTTATAACCTCTTGGATACTTGGACCCATAAAACACCGCGTTCCGATCTAGCAAGTTATCGGATCGTTAAAAACCGGATGCCGGAGTAGTGGAGAAGTACGTATGTACTGTTGTGAGTTTCTAAATCGGATCGGTAATTAACGTTTGCCGGACCGGAGCAGTGGAGAAACGGCCTTATACCGTAATATCTATATTATTCGTCATATTTGTCTGAAACATGATGACAATAAAAAAGTTATATTTTACCGAAAAATAGCGCATACAATCGTGCGAACAACGGCTTACATACATTAGCCATGTATTAGACCATATTTTAAACCCTTATCAGCCATATCAAACAAATCTGTCGAACCGTTTATAAAATTAAAGCTATTATAATATAACAATTTACAATACGCGTCGTAATTACTGTAAGTCCTTAATAAAATTATTTCCACCGCAAATCAAACTGCACGTGTACAATCGGGGTAACTGAATTATTAATATCAGTGCTTCAGTAATGAGCCTCGATACTGTATCGTTTAATTAACTACATGCATGAATTCACCTGGTAATGCCTGTTTGTATAGATTTTCAGTATTTATTTAATTAAAATACAACGTGTGTCTTTTGTGGTATCTGTAATGTAAAAAATGAGTGCATTCTGTTCAGATATAATTAATAATAATATGGGTAAATAGTCTTATTCATAGATTTCTAATTGGAAGTTTTATTTGATAAATATTTAGAACGGAATATACAGAATACATAGTGTATTACAGTGGGCAGTGTTGGCCTAGTGGCTTCAGCGTGCGACTCTCATACCTGAGGTCGTAGGTTTGATCCCCGGCTGTGCACCAATGGAATTTCTTTCTATGTGCGCATTTAGCATTTGCTCGAACGGTGAAGGAAAACATCGTGAGGAAACCGACATGTCTTAGACCCAAAAAGTCGACGGCGTGTGTCAGGCACTGGAGGCTGATCACCTACTTGCCTGTTAGATTTAAAAATAATCATGAAACAGATTCAGAAATCTGAGGCCTAAAGAGGTTGTAGCGCCACTGATTTTTTTTTAAATATACTATGTCTGTATAATGATTATTATAAAGCTTCACACATGTTTAAACAAATTCTAAGAAAATCTGTTCATTGTATTGTCATGATTTTGTAAGACTTTCCTATTCATTATTAAGTTGTACCCTCGGATGTGGAATGCCTTTGAATCCACATACGACTAAGTTCTCAACAAAACAATGTGCCCTTCGCAAACTTATCTGTCCAATAGGCTTAATTGAGATGAATAAGTTAAACTCAATACTGACTTGGAGCTACGTTCTATTGGGGACAGGCTTAATTAAATTAGACGGCATTACTCCACGTACGGTAACGAATAACTCTGTTTGAATCCTGTAGAAATAATTATTTGCGTTTCGTTTTCAGTATTTTGCCTTTATAGAAAGTAATCGACGAAACTGGGACGGAAATTTTACCTCTTTAGGGGGTATGGGGTTATAAGTATTCGTAAAAAAATATTCTTTTAATGGTTCTTAATGCAATGCGAAAATAAAAAAAATATAGTTACAAATGTCAATTAAAAAATTTATGTAACGCAAAATATGTAGGAAAGCGTTCTCTGATTGTCCCTTAAGATAAAATTAGGTCATTAATCCAAATCCTAAAATCATAAACAGTTTTTTAATTGATTTTTTATACTTAACTTTATACGTAAACAAAATATATTTTACTGATGCAGTAAAACTATTATTGTCTGTGCCTAAAATCAGTAAAGGCATAATGTATTATGATGTCCCCGTACAATTGAATGTAGCAAGCGATATATCACAGAAGATAGGTCACAACCACACACCGCATCGCTCACTGACCCTGTCCCAACTGATGGTTAGTTACGTAATTCGACAACCCAATTTCCACGAATTTTATCTATATTATCCTGTTTGACACATAAGTGCATGTACTAAAGAATATAAATTGTTGAATATATTTAAGAGTGAGTTGTTGGTGCTTGTCGTTTTTAGTATCTTGCTAGAAAGTAAAGCATGAAACAGAGGCCTTAGTCAAGATGCCTTAACAGTAGTGTATGTAGAAAGTCGAAAACTAAATTTGTATGAAAATGATAGTTCATGTCGACAAATTTTCATACTAACCCTTGGGACAGAAATTATTAAATCTTTAAGAGTGAATGATAAAAATACATTTTCTTATGTGATTGGTTTGTATGTATGAAATATTTGTAACTAGTTAATATCTTATATTGGGGAATATCTGCTTTTTTCTATATTCATTGTTCATAAAACACATCTTCCTAAAACTAATTTCTTAACAAAAAATAGAACCATGTTTTCTTCTAATTAATGTATTTTTAATCTGCTGTTAACATTACATCAAGATTGTTCTGCGATTAATTAATATATTGTTCATAAATTGTTAAAAGGACACTTGGTATGTATTTTAACATTTTACACTGATTTGTTTTAGGTTTATTATAAATTTGTAGTACATTTAAATTTTAAATGTTCTATTTATTTTTTAATATATCTTTATTATATTTACTTTGATTCATAATAAACGTTACGCAAGATGTTTTAAAAAGGTTTATCATATTTTAAAAAGGCTTAGTGTTATGTATATATAAAGTTGTTTCATCTTAATAAACTCAGTAACAATTCTATACAACGATATTCGGAAGAACCCTTTTGAAATATATTTTAATAAAAGGGAAAAAGGGGACTCCTTTGTCAAAATTCTTAGGAATAAACTGATTTGGCGAGCTTTTGAAGCATTTGTATTAGAGGCTGGATATAAAGCGTGAACTCATGGCTACGAGGCGTTTCTAAAGTAGCTTACCAAGAATTATTCAAGCAAATAGTCAGGTATTTGCCTGCACCTTACTTGGTGAAAGGACACGTACACGCCTGTTTAAATTTGCATAAAAACCTTAAATTTTAACTTTTTTTACTAAATAAATATATTGCTTTATTCACTTCGTATATATGTAAAAAAATGATTAATTTCGTTGTCTGAAATCTTCTGAACAGAAAAAATAAAACTATGTATAGTATTATATTTTTATTGTTTAGTAATCTATAAAATCACTTCTTCCAAATATGCTCCATTTCGTTCTTGGGATACTTTTGAACGAAGACTAATGTTTTTCATAACTGCGCGTCATTTAAGCTCTGAAATGCTCCACATTTCTCGTCGGATATTTTCATCGACTTTGCCACCTTATAGTTCCCAAAAAACACAAAGATAGACGTGAGAAATGTTACACAATTTGGAATGTCCACAAGTCGTTGTTCCAGAAGTCTAAAACAGAGCGTCAATAAAGGATTCATAGTAATACTTTTTGTACGGAGAACTGGAACGTCTGGAACTAATAAACGTATACACCCAAACAGGTATTGAAATAGTGGTGCGGTAAAATATTACTAGACGAAACTAAATAAAATTATGTTGATGTTACTTGTGACGACAAGACAAGAGTGACAAAATAGTCACGCGACTATGCATGATCTAATGTCATTCCCATACAAATTCATTTAGCGTTACTGGGTCACGCCTGTCGAAAGTGATTTTGTCTCAAGGCCCAGATATTTCTTACTTCGAAAGTATTGTCATATGTCAAAACGTAAATGTAAGTTTCACACAGTTTAATAACTACATAGTCGGTCCCAAAGTTCTGTCATAAATGGAAATAATGATAAAAACAAAAGTACTGATCAGTTTGTAATGAGTGATATATCAATTCTTAGTACATTAATTAAGGAATAAAAAAAGCATAAAAATATTCGAAATAACCTCCCTCATTTTTAATACAGGCCCTTAAGCGTCGCGGCCAGTCGTCTATCGCAGCACGCACCATATTCGTGTCGATTTCAGTCACTGGTTTTTTTAAAGATGACTTCAGATTCTCCAAATTTTCATGAGGTTTATCACAGACCTTCCTCTCTAAGCCCTGTCATAATTTTCGGGTCCAAAGGATTAAGGTCCGGACTGGAGGAAGGCCAATCCTCATGTCTAATTAAGACGATGTTTTGACGCTCAAACCAGGCTTTAGTGGTCTTGGCTTTGTATGCAGACGCAGAGTCCTGCTGGAACACGAAGTGATGTCCCGCAAATAGGGTGCTGGACATGTCTTTGACAAGGCGATACAAAACCGTCTCTTGGTACACTGTAGCACTGGTTTTGACCCCCTTTTCGAAAAAATTAACCTCAGTTAGCCCGTAATAGGACACTCCCAACCAAACCATTACTGATGATGGATGATGTCCATGTTGCACCCTTGGAACTTTATTTTCAGCTTCTTCAGAACTCCTAGCGTACACTGTATAATTCTGTTTATTGTACTTCTCTTCAATATCGAAAAATTTTTCGTCCGTAAAGAGGATATCACGGTGTCGGTTTTTCGCGTACCGCTTAAACAACACCCGCGATCTCTTAAGCCTTATTGCTTTTAGACGAGCATTAAGTAAGTGCCCACTCTTTTTTTGTATGCTCGTAGACCAAGATCTTCATTTAAAACCTTTTTTACTGTTTTCCTACTGACACCCATCTGCAAATCCATCAACTTCTGTTTTCGGACAGGATTTCTTACTATCCGCGCCTTGATAGCTTTGATTACTGCTGGTGTTCTTGCGGAGCGTGGCCAGCCAGTTCTTTTCTTGTCCTCAACACTGGAGACTTCAAGGTACCTATCAATAGTACCGTACACAAACCTAAGCGTTATATTCAAATTTTTGAGCAACTTGAAAATGGTACTCGGCGAGTGTCCACAGCGGTGCAACGCAATAACAACTATTCGGTTTACTTTCAATGTCCACTCCATCGTGAAAAATTACGGAAAGTTATTGTTTTTTGTTTTAAAACAATAATCAAACATTCCAAAATAGAATGCAATAATTTTTTTATAAAATCCTGCCCGAAATGTAGAAATAATTTGCTAGTGACAGAACTTTGGGACCAACTACGTATTTGTGAAGTTTTTGGACTAACTAACGTTTCCGAACGACATAGTTAAGTTGAGGATATTAAAATGCTAACTAGCATCAAGACCACCGACCGCCGAGCAAAAAAGGACATTACATTAAGTTTCTCATTCGCCCATATACATTAGTCGTATTAAAGAACCCAAAGGGCTGATTCTTATGCGTTTAGTCAAATTCTTTATCTATCAGATATTATCATCAAATTTCTAAAAACATTTAGCGTTAGTACCATTTTTATGTATCAAATAACGCAGAAAGAAGAAGAAAGTCTACAAGTATAGTCGACAAGTCGACCCTAACGACAATAACGAAGTTAATACCGCTACCTCGACAACTCTTACGGGCAAGGGAATTAGATTTATCGGTACACAACGTTGCATCCTCTACAGTACTGGGAAAATAAATTTAACTTGAAAATAATTAACGTCAAGATTAAATAGGTAATTTGATATTTCATAGAAATCCTATTTTTATATTCATGTTCTCAGCATGGACAATACGTAAAATGGAACAGAACAGTAAGAACACTATTCAATTATGTTCTGTATGGACTTTGGAACACTCGAGCAGCGCCCCAGGACGTATTTCAAACTCAATAGCACGAACATGCATCATTTTTTTTTAAAGGAAATATTTTATCACCAACTGATATTATCGTACTTGAATCTAATTCTGAAAAGGTCTACTCATAATTGAAATATGAGCTTTTAATTCTAATTAGTAATTTACATTGACATGTAATTTGCCTCTTCACAATTTAGTTTTTTTTCACATTCACCAAATTGTCGTCACTTTAAAAAAATTATATTATATGATCTATTTGCTGGATGCCAGTGTTAGGTTAAACTATAAAGTAGCTGTTGAAGGTGCTACAATTTTGTAACATGTATGATACATGTATAATATTGATATATTTCATAACAGGTTAGGTTTAGTTTGAATATTTCGTTTTTCGTAATGTCATATTTTTTCGTAATTTAAACATGAATGTTATTTTAAGAGCTTCTGGTCGGTATAAAACAATTTATAGAAATTAATGACTGTGAGATTTTTTTATGCACACATTTAAAACAACACTTTTACACATTTGTGTTTTCATATAGGAACAATGACCTCATCAAAATTGGGTTTGTCCCATATCTCATTACACAAAAATAAATAATATATTTGATACTAAAACGTCTTAAAACCCACTTAAAGGTGTTTTCATATTATTATGAGTAAACTCTATGTATTAAAAGCAATTTAATTAATTACATAATTTCAGTTGCCTGCGCCGAGCGGATATTATCAAGGTATTCGACGGGCGAGACACGGAGGCGCCAACAATAGCCATGCTGTGCAACGAGCTTACAGGTAATGAAAGGAATCTCATTATAAATACAGCTAATTACCTCATTCATACTGTAAGGCCTCAAATTGCTAATAAATTCGTCCTTATGACTCTTGTGGCAAATTGAAAAAAAAGAAAAGGGACAAGAGATCTAACTAAATCGGGTATGCTGGATTAATGGTGATAATTTATCACGCTGTCTTAATTTCTAGCGAGTACTTATTAGTCAAGTAAATAGTTTTAATTACTTAGTCGATCACAGGGCACGGTTCGAGAAGATAAAATGTTATCTTTCTAAGTACGAATATTTCTACGGTGGTCATATTTCAAAACCCCTAACAGTAACTCGGATACGCACGTAAATCTGTTGATTCTGCGCTAGCGATTCTCCGGACACGGCGGACACGTCCGTCCACTCGGGCTGTCAGAGATATTAAATTTTGTGTACCTGTCACTGTGCAGACACTCTATAATACTCTCCGTAGATACTCAGCCATAGCCAATCATTGAGCCCGAAGGTCTGAATATTCTTTAAAATTATAGTGTTTAAATAATTATAGTTTTATGTTCAACAAATAGATGTCGCCTGTGGAGTCTTGAATCGCGGTATTGTTCTGATTCAAGAATAGTATAAGTGTTTCAAGGTATTTTTTATTAAATATATCAGCCTTAAAAATGGTGATTTTCTTATTCATAAAGTAAATAAAGTTAATATATCTGAAAATTATATTCCAGTTTTAAAGACTAATTGAAATATGCCTTAATACTGATAGAAAATAGTGACGCGTATTACAACCTTTCATTTAAAAAAAACCAGTGGCGCTTCAACCATAGTATTAGCTTCAAAATTCTGTACCTGATTAGTGATTACTTTATTATTTATCTTTATTGGCAAGTAAATAAACAACCTATCATCAATACCAGCTAGGGATGTGACATTCTGCATAAAAAATCGATTTCTTATTAATAGATTATTTTTTTAGCACGAAAAATCGATTAATAAATAATCTATTTTTTTTTAAATCGATTTTTTCCTCATTTTTGAATTAATTTCAAATTTGAATTAATTTTTCACCCTAAATATTTTAATTTTCATGGTTTTTTTAATTAAATATAAACAATAGGAATTATAAACACAAATTATTAACGTTTAAGAATAATCAAAATCGAAATTAACTTAATCTCGTTTTGATAGAATTTAGGTGAAATTTGATAGATGCTGAGTGTATGCCTTTTCAGTAGCACATTGCAGTATTTTTGTTGTCTTTTTAATTGTATGTAGTCTTGTGCTGCTGAATAAATTTATTTTACTTTTAAATTATTATAGTATTCCATTCAAACTTGATTTTTTGTAAAATAACTGGTTTTATCATCCTTTCGATGTTTTACAATAAAACATCAATGCATCGAGTATATCAATACATCTTCAAAGAATCGGATTCAATGTATCGCATTGTAAACATCGTTGTATATCGAATATCCCTAATAGTTCGAGGTCCGGATTATCAAAGACCAGACATAATGTCGGGAGGTGACAGATAAAAAATCGACTATGATTAATTTTCAATTATAAAAATAATCGATTATTAATCGATTACTTTTTTTTTACATCCCTAATACCAGCAATGTATTATATTTTTAAAGTGGGACCTTACCACTCAAGTCCACCAAGGGTGAAGGGAAGGTGTAAATTAGTTTTAGTTGATCAAAATACCTTAATAAATATACTTTACTTTAGCCTGTAATACCATAGTAAGTCAAAGAAAACTCATTAACGATTTGAATTTAATTATAAAATGTAATGAAAGCTTCTATATTAATAAAACAAGTGAAGCTTTAATAATGTGACAGGTAAAGAGGCTGTATTAAACCTGTAGAGTCGTATGTCGAGTGAGTAAAAGTCGATGGATATCGTAATACAATTTTGTTTACATTTATAATCGAGGAATACTTTTATAGTCGTACTGCATAATGCATTCACCAGAAACCATTGGTTGAAATGGCTGGAAATCAAACTCTGGGCTTAACGCGCTGTATCAATACTGTAGAGGTTTGGTCACAACTATACTATTACTAAAACCAGATATACATATATACATATAGAGATATAATTTAATTTAAAATTATACATATATATATATTTTTTGCAAACTGGCAAGAGGCTTACCTGATTATAAGTGATACCGCCGCCCATGGACACTCTCAATGCCAAATCGCTTGCGAGTGCATTGCCGGCCTTTTAACATTTGGTACGCTCTTTCTTGAAAGTCCCGAGTAACCTAGGTTATATATGTATATATATAGTTATAAATTTATCACCATTTGTGTCTTTTAATCAGGCATAAAAAATAGGTTACTGTCTTTATATATTTAATATGATAAAGATATAATGGTATATTTAAATTGGCGCCTGGTAGAGAGTACCGGTGACCCCAGAGCTGGTGCTTTCCTCGCTCAACGAATAAGTATCGCAATACAGCTAGGAAATACTCTCAGCATTAAAGGTACACTGCCACAGGGATCAAACTCTAAGTTTTCTATTAATCGATTTTTAATTATTATTATGATTATGTAGGTGAAGAATAATTTAAATACTCTATTTTTGTGTGTTATTATATAAATTAGTAATTAACGGTAGATATATTTGAGTAAATATTTAAACCAAGTCCAGTTAAACATACATTTATTTACTAAATAATATGTGACTTATATTAGAAATTCGAACCTTTTTCCATCAAGTAACGAAATAAAAATACGAATGCCCCAGCGCCGCAAGATAATTCCTCATTTTGACATTACATTAAGTACGTTTCAGATTCGTCTCTAAGGAATAAAACATTCGATAAGCTTTTATGAAGCTGTATTTCGTATATGTGTTTTTGTATCAAATGTTCAATTATTTCTTCTATTTACGGTTAGATTACAAGGGTTCTTTAGCAATTATTGGCATTTTAAATTATAACTGTAGTGTTGTTTTATGCGGCTTATATCGCACAGAAATTTAAACTTAACTGCCTATCCAAAAACAAATATCTACCCGGAGTTAAGGACAAAATATCGAAGTAGTCTTTATAAACATTTTTATTAATAAACGAAAATTTACAATTATTACTACATCTTCATACATAAACACATTATAAACAAGCAGTCTATCGAACTGAATATTTACACGGTATGTCCTTTAATTAAAATATATTATATAAAAATGTCTTTTAAATCTGAAGGTTTCCCGATTGTCAAATACTACGTATAGTGGTGTCATACTAAACAATTATTGCTGTCTACATTTGACAATTAAAAAACTTTAGGCTATGTTCAGATGGCAAAAACTTGACGCGCGTTTTCAAATCGCGCGACTAGAGATTATGGTATTTTTCATACAACTGTTCACATGTACGCGCGTTAACGCGCGTTAACGCGCGTCAACGCGGCGCTCAGAGAAAAAGTCTCTAGACGCAAATGATCGCGCGTTGACGCGCGCTTTGATATTAATGTAATGTCCGTTTGCTGTTCAGATGAGCGCGCGCTTTCATCGCGATCGCATGTAATTTTATTAATTTTCGTAATTATATTTTGTTCTCGCTTTTAAAATGAGTGAAATTGAAGATATTGACATCGACTTACTAATCGATGAAGTAGAAAAAAGGTCAGCAAGTTGGAATATAGCAAATTTGTATAAAAAATATAATATAAATTGTATTTTTTTTTTCAAAATTGGATAAACCCAATGTGTACGTTTTCTTTTTCTATATTTTTCTTTATAATATAACCACAAAATAATAGCCTCTTCCACGTCCATTTTCTACGTTCTACCGAACTAGACTGACGAGTACTCTCGCAACGCGCGTTAGCGCTCATCATCTGAACGCTCTTCAAATTTGATCGCGCGTTGACGCGCGTTAACGCGCGTTACATGTGAACATAGCCTTAATCTCGTAAGGAAAAATTGAGATCAGTTATTAAAATAAATATTGCAAATCTGCTTTTTACATGTTCAGTCTTACTCAGGGTCGTTCAATAAGAATTAACGGTAATTTAAATATTGCCATAGATACAATTGTGTGTTGACAAAAGACAAAGCGTTAATTAAATAAAAATAATAAATTATACTGTTTAAGTTTTAATTCGTCATAAAGTAATAAAAATACATTTTGAATTTGTCCTAATTTCCAACTTAATTACACTTTCACATTAAGTCAGCCTAGTGAAACAAAGAGTAAATTCAATACAATGTGTTGTAATTTAATTATTGTATTCCTGGCGTGGTTAAATTATTGAGTCAGACTCATGGATATTCGCCATATCTAGTACCATTTACAATTTGCTATCTGCCCATTATTCAAAAGATTTATTCGCCTGCTTTTTACGAGACCACGATATTTCGTCGCCAGACAATTGGCTTTTGTTTTTGTGATGCACTACCTGTCGCTTAGCACTATAGAGAATAAACCATCACTATAGTCTACAAGCACAGTTAGGGAATGAAAAATCGTTTAGAGAGCAGGCTTTATAGCAACAAATCCATTTTTACGATTTCTTCCTTAAAACCATTCTCCGTTTGGGTTGACCAGAATAAACTGCTCTGAGCAGTAAGATCGTCCTTTTAAATCGTCTCGCTACGTTTTATATGAAATAATATTAGAATAATTGTAATCTCCTACTCCTAGGTTTTAGAATGGTTCGAATATGATATTCATATAATTATAAATACTCGGATTAAATTACGTTAAACTGTTTACAATAATTACATATGTATACAATTCAGATAAATTAACCTCAAGCCGAATGTTGGGAGGGCATTAGATATATATTTTTTTTGTTTTTTTTAATTTGGACCACAAAATTTGGACAAACACATGATATAAATTGACATCATGAAATATATGTAAGTGTAATCGCTAGAATAAGTAAAAACATGTGTCTATACTTATGTACACGCGTTAGAAGTGATGCTTCTTCGGCGTAACAATACAAAAATCTTTATAAAATTTTGTCTTTCGCCTTATTCTACGTCTGTAGAAAAAACGACACTAACAATAGAAAAATGGTATTTAATACATTGAAAGTTTTATCATGACGCATTATCTAGTTAAATAAAATCTATTTAAATATCATAAAAAGATTATTTCTACATAATTAAAGAAACTGACTTTTTTTTAAAATATTGACTATGCTAACTTCAGGGTGTCGGTTTTTTGTGACGATGAGGGCGCGCATCGTAAAAGTTTACTCTCCTCATTTTTCCCTTACACGCCAAAAGAAGTATAACTTCAAAGAGAAATCATTCTTATTTTTCAGGATATGAGGTTCTGTCTACGGGACCATCACTCTTGCTACAGTTCACGGCCAACTCCGCGACACCAGGCCAGGGTTTTGCTGCAACATACCACTTTCAGCCACCACCAGACTCAACTGCAGCCGGTGAGACTCTTCAAACAAATATTGAAATGTATATAAAGATTTTAAACGTGTTGTATTAAACAGCTGTAGGCCTAGTGACTCCTAAAATCGAGAGGGCGTTCGTATCACCGTTCACGTGACGTTTTTGATTAAACTTCATTCAGATTTATTAAATATTTACTCAATACCCAATCTAACTCAGTTGCATATATGTAACCGGCTAGAACTATGTAACTACGAGGAATAATGCTCAAAACTCTCCCGTAGTTGTATGACTACAATATCTGTGTGTAAAGATTTTATAAGTAGATATATAAGTATAAGAAATGAATATAAAATATATACCCCAGCTGTTCTTTACTATTCCAGCCTTATTTTAAGATTTGCAGTCAAGTTTTATGATTTAACATGACACCCAACAAAAACGTATTACTAAAAGTACAACTAATAATCTCTGTATTTAACTGTGCCAAAATGAAGTTGTTTCGGCAATAAATGTCTAACAGAAATACTACAAAAACCTATTTATACTCCATTACTTGTCTGCATATATTATATCGATTATAGTCAAAACAATAAAATACTCTAATTACCCATAGACCTTTTTATACGAAATGAATGCAATACAACGAAATTGCATGCAACGTACAAGGTATGAATAGAGTTTCTGGCGTTAGGCCAGATGGCTTTCGGCAGTGCTTATTTCAGAGGAACTGTTAATAGCCGCCGGCCCCTAACAAGTGTACCGACACGCTTTCAGGCCTAAGTACACAAAACGATCGTGTCCCGAAATACGAAACGCGAGTTTAACGTCCTTGTTTCCGAAGACTATCCTTCTTTTGTTAGTTTGCGGAAATGTGCGATGTAAATGTTTTTTATTTATTTGAGGCAGAGAATATTACATATATTTATAAATAAGAAGCATGCAAAAATCTTTAATATCTCCATAATATACGGAGTAATTTTACAGAAACAGAAAAATATATTTTTGATCAATGAGAAAAAAAAACAGAAAAATTATTATAGACTTTTCTATTCATCAAGATTTTCTTCTTTTTTTTATAATTAATAACATCGTAGTTTGATGAGAGTCTCGTGGCTTAGCGGTCTTGAAAAGGTACCTATTGTGATGTATGGGACTTTGGGTTCGGTTCCCGTTAGGAGCGAAAAATATTATAATTAAATTGATGTCAAACAACACCTCGGTATTTACCTTGGCAGTCATATGAGTAACCCCAGAGGATACCTTAGGGAAATTTAAGCGGGCTATCATATTTTATGTGTAATTCGACAAGGTTTGTGTTTTACACAAGTGACAAATAAATCAATTAGTTTTAGGTCTATTACTTAATTCAGTCTTTATTGAACCTTTATTTCAAAACTTTGGCCGTGTTTAAAACTAAATTACGACAAAAAATATTGGAATACGTCTCCGTATTAAATTAATTTACATTTGCATTGGTATGACATGTTACGAATTGCGATATCAAGGGAATTTCAAAATGTTCTTATGGTAGGGGAGCCCAAGAGGGGATTTCGGGATTTACTAAAGCGCGGCAGATTAATATATAGGGGGATACCTTGTACCCGGTTAAGTACCTCCACAAAATATGAGGCCCATATATAAGGCCGCCCGTGAAGGAGACAGGATCAGATTAGTAAAAAAAAATTGACCATCAGAAATTCCCGAGCGCGTCAGATTAAGGTAGGGTGAGTTAATTACATCCTAAAAAGTGTATATTCCATTAATCTGACAATTTGAAAGTGACGTAAAAAAGGGGAGGGCAACAAAGTTGTAAAAAAAAACGTCATCTCGACATTCTCGAGCGTAGCTAAAATTTTTTTATTTTGAAGGAAATAATTCAAGAATAATGAAAAATATATAATCTGACGATTTCCGCAAGCCGAAATAACAAAAATTCGTCGATAAAGTTAAATGCGTGCAGCTGCGTGATGCCTACATTTCCTTAAACCGATCGGAATCTACTAAACGGCGTTCTAAATATTTCCCTCAAAATTACATTTCCTGTGAATTTGAACCGATTCGGACCGATAGATTTTGAGAAATTTTGAAAAATCTTAAAAAATAAGAAATATTTTTTTTTAAAGTGGTTTCTTTATCGATCAACTTCAAAAACTAATCCGCCTTTGAGCTTGAAAAACCACGTCGATCGCCACCAAGCTGGTCAAAAGCGGTTGATTCGTTCGAGAGATATCGTGAACGAAAGAAACCCGAAAAAGTGTTTTTTCGGGATTACTCCGAAATTTGTGGTTCGATCAATTAAAATTGCAAAATTACATATGAGGATGATAAAACTGCGTCGAATGCCGCCAACCGCGTGAAAATTGCTTGATCCATTCAAAAGTTATTGCGGTTTGAAAATTCCAAAAATAGTGTTCTATGAAACTTCTATCAGACTTTCGAGCTGGGAGAGCTCAAATGCATAGAAATATTATTTCTTTGAACTCAGCGAGCTCAAAATATCAATTTTAAGCGCCCAGGAATGGAATTAGCGGGAAGTTGCAGGGATGGCCCTTTAGGTGAACCGTTTTTCTAAATTTTTTTTGTCAGATCAGGCGAATCCCTCTAGATAATCGTCAGATTATGAGACAGTACGTTTAGAACATAAAGATGAACCACATATATCTTAATCTGACGCGCTTGAGTATTTCAAAATTGCGTTTTTTTTTGCAAATTATGAAAATGGCCGTGGGTTTGCGTCCCATCGAAATCGTCAGATTAGTGAATGAGAGCTTTTTATTGGTGCACTTAACACTCCCTTAGAAAATCTGACGCGCTCGATAATTTTTATTTTTTTTCATTTTCAACCCTTAAATACAACCACCCGCATCATGCAAACGATCAGATTAACATACGTACATTATTAAAAATACGTAGGGCATTGATGCTATCAATATCTGACGCGCTCGAGGATGTCCATGCAACAGTTTTTTTTACATATTTAACAATCTATAGCCGCTTCCCCCACCGATGAAAAGGTATATATCATATAACATTTTTTTCTTCTTATTATCTAAGCTTTGCATCCCAATAGGTCTCTACGACGCTCGAGTAAATCCCCATTTAGCATCGTGGGCTCCCCTACCATTATTTTATATAACATACACAGACAGTTACGATTTTATTTTGAATTACGAATACAGCAATGTTAATATTTAATACAGCGCCACCTAGTTTGTAATTGGAGTAGCCGGTTAACTACATGTGATCTTGAGTTATTAAACTTATTTGTGGAACGTCTCTATGACGCACTTCTAACATGTTTCGCTAGGTGGCGCTAAAGCAAAAATATCTGTTTCAGATTCCGATCGTCTTCTTAAATTAAGTTTTGGAAAAGCGTTCGAGTCACTGGGGCCGGAAGTTAGTGCAACAAGTAAGTTTATTTTTACATATTTTCTTTGTCTTGTTCATTTATATATAAAAGTTCATCACCGCTGAGTGCGTTCATTTCAGGAGTTTTAAATATGAACTTAATTGTACATTTTGAAGCAATATTTTGTTGGGGTTACACAATTCGCAGTAATTTAACGTTATAAAAATTGATACCAACAGATACTTCGATGAAATTATACGAAGTATATAAAGTTTTATTTATAAATGTAGGATATAAAGGAAAAGGTAACAAGGATTGACTATGATTAATGGGGCCAAGGCAAAAGCCAAGCTTCTTTAAATCATAAGGATATTTAAAAGGAATTAGTCGTTTTATAAAGAGCAACCTAGAAACGACCTCAAATTCAGTGTGTTGAATTCTACACAGACTTATAAATTTTTTAACTACATCAATTTGTCCTAAAATATTTACCTAATACTGTAAGCGTTATTATATTTCAATATATACTAGAACCCCACAAACGTTGACCTGTACACACGCCCTTAATACAAACAGAACATTTGATTGTAAATCAAAACCATTCTCGAATCCATCTCGATTTGGGAGTTTAATTGTAAACACACGCACTGAAGATTTATTTTTATAAAGATATTTTAAAATAATAACCCAAATGATATAATTTAATGATTTTTGCTAATCGTGAACAAAGTCTTGTCTTTTTCTGGTGTCTGTAAAGCACGCGAATCGTCGGAAATTTTTTAATTATGTAAAATAATTATAAGTTTATAATAATACATAACTTCAATCCGGTAAAAAAGTGTTTTCTTTAATCGTGAACAAGTTATCATTAATATTCCACTTGGCTCACGTATCTCACTCTTGACTCTTAACATTAGGGTTGGAAGTATTGGCGTATAATATCTTTGCTTTAGTAGGCCAAGAGAACATAGGCATATATTTTCTCCATTGGTGTATCATACCAGCATCCGTATCCCGTCAACGTACGTGGTTTGACAACTGATCGTTTCTTAAGGCTATTGCCGCGCACCACCACTATGTGGAACCAGCTGCCCACTGAAGTATTTCTAAACCAATTCCACTTAGGGTTCTTCAAGAAAAGAGCGTTCTTAAATGGCCGGCTACGCACTTGAGAGCCTTCTGGCATTGTGAGTGTCCAATATCAGGTGAGCCTTTTGTCCGTGAACGTTGTTTTAAACAACATAATATTAAAAATCAAGACCAACAAAGAACCCATCAAATATGTAATGTAAAGATGTAAAATCTATAAATCACTAGCTGACCTGGCATACGTCGTTTTGCCATGTATATCATTTATAACAAAAAATAGGGGTTGATCGTAGAGGGGTGAAAATAAGGGGTTGTATGTATTTTTAATGCTATATCATAAAAAAATTTTATCTAAAAATTAAAAAATAATAATTAGGGGTGAACTACCCTTAACATTTAGGGGGATGAAAAATAGATGTTGTCCGACTCTCAGACATACACAATATGCACTCAAAATTTCATGAGAATCGGTCAAGCCGTTTCGGAGGAGTTTAACTACAAACACCGCGACACGAGAATTTTATATATTAGATATATTTAATACTAGGCACTATTTCAATTAGTATTTTGGCTCATTAGTGACCTCATTATGTAATCGCACCGTGTTTCATTTTGTAGTTTGAACATTTCTCTATCATAGTCTCAAGCGTTTTGGC